TAGCTAAGACCGCGTTAATATTTACGTATTAGTTCTTCTACTATTAGTATTAGTCTAGAACTATATCTTTCTAAAATTAGTTATCTCTTTTATACGCTTCTAGACCGTTTTTACTAGCTCTACCGATTTTTACTCGATTTATCTTATTTCGATAATATAAATCTTTACTTTATATACTTAGGAAGATAGAATACTCTTAGACTCGGTAACCTCTATTCCTATACTAGAAATATCTATCTTATAACTATCTAGTAGATATATAAATAGGATTATTCCGGCTATTATTTTTCGTAAGAAGATACTAAACTAGAGCTTACTATTTATTAGTAGCTTTCTACTAGTCCTCTATTACTTTTAGTATATTTACCGAAAGACTATTAAAAGTATTCGTTAAACTTTCTAAATCCTATTCTTCTCGAAGACTTATATTTCTAACTAGAGGATTACTAATTCGCGAAGTATCTACTATCGCTAGCTTTTTAGAAGATCTTTTACTAGATTTCGAATTTATATTAATATTAGTATAGACTTAAATTCCTTTATTAGATATAATATAGTCTATTATAAGATTATAATCCTTCTAAATCTTAATTAAGATTCCTAGCTACTTTTTCGATCTAGCTTAAAGAGATCTATCTCTTACTTTTTAAAGGATAATTAATATTAATCTTCTCTTTCTTAATTAACTTTAATCGTAGTTTCTCCGGTAGTCCTTCGATAAACTAAGTATACCGCTCTAGTTCGCTAATATCTCCTCTTTTTACTAGATATAATAATATAGATAAAAAAGTAGTTAAGTATATATAGAAATTATCCTACTCGATATAGTTTCTATAGAATCTTTATAGCTAAGACTAGATATAGATAGCTTATAGACTATCTATATCTTAGTACTATTCTTTAAAATCCTTAAAGAATACTTTCTTATCCTTTATCTACTAGTTAAGATTTTCTTCTATTTAGATATACTAAAGCTATCTATAGTAATCTAGAAGGATATCTAGAATTCTTATATTATCTCTTATATTATAGCGCTTATATATCTATTCTAAACTATCTAAAAATTTAGAGATATTTCTTCCTTCGAACTATAGTACTCTAGGAGTTCTAGACTTAGGTATAGTCCCGATAATATATCTTAGTATTTATATCTCCGATCCTAGGTTATAGACTTAGATTAGTATTAGTATCGGCGAAGATACTAGTCTAGAAGGAGATAATAGTAGTAGTAGTATAATTCTCTCCCTAAATATTTTAGATAAACCTTCTATAGACTCCGAGGAAGCTCGATTACTAGGATTATAATAGACTTCGAATAAAGTTATATTTATAGGTATTATATTTATAGATATATCTGTAGATATTTTAGCTTCTTTCGGCGGTTTAGGTTTAAATTCAGATTTCGATTTTAGTTATTACTTTTGCTTTATAGGTTCTATTAAATTCGAATATTAATATTTTTAGGATTTTTCGGTTATAATAGAATCTAGAGATATACTATAGGATTCGTAATATTCGTAAGGTAATTAATTCTTTAAGTTTAAAGGGGTTATAAAATTAGTAGTTAATCTAGATAATAATATAACTCTTAATTCTTACCGATTCTTCTTCTCTCTTTCTTCGATTTCTGTTTTTCTTTCTACTCTTACTTCTTAGATAGAGATTTCTTCTATAGAAAAAATCTATAGCTAATATCTTAAAGTAGTATTCTTATCTAGTAGTATCTTTATAGTCGTAGTCTATAGTAATCGTTCTAAAGTAATATACTAATTCTATATAAAGTTTAGGTATACTAAGGATATTATCTTATATAATTAATCCGGAGTTATTTTTAGTAGTTAAATTAGTATCTTCCGATCCTCTTAGTATTAATTAGCTAATAACCCGCGAACTAGATAGATATATCGGTTAAATAAAGATATTCTCTTAGTAGTAGTATCCTCCGAGGGCGTAGCCTCTTATATATAGCTAAAAGTCGTATATTTAGCTATTTTTCTAAATTCTATTAGGGTTAAATATATCGCCTACTTTTTATAGTAAATCCGTAAAATTTTAGTTATAGTAATAGTCGTAGTTATAGTTATAGTCTTAATTATAGTGATTATAGTAGTAGGAATATTAGTAGTATTAATCTCGTTATTAGATCCTCTTATAATTATACTATAGAAATAATATAGTCCTCTATCTTAGCTATCTTTTTATAAAGTCCCTACGTTAGTTACTAATATAGAGGGGAATACTTAAGGTAGTCTGATCTTACTAGATAGATCGAGTTATAGAGGAACTAAACTATAACTACTAGTATATATATCCAGAGATCTTCTAGCCCGACTATATAATACCTATCCGTAGGATATCCGAAGGTAAAGAGGAAGATTAAAAAAAGTATATTATTATAATATAAAAGAATCCGACTATAAAGACTATACTAAACTCTCTTAAGGCCGTTTAATCCGATGATTATATTATATCCTTCGTATCTATATAGTTATCCGCTATATTATTCTAGTTATTAAGTTAATTAACTCCCTCTCCTTATATCTAAATAGCCTCTCCCGACCGTAAGGCTACTATTAGGTATATATACCTTAACAGACTATCTACTCTATATATATATAACCGGATTCCCTACTATACTATATATAATAACTCCCTATAACCGCGGTATATGCTTCTAAGCCGATTTCGACTAGTATAGTAATATCTGTCTAATATATATCCCCCTCGATCCCCTAGCTATAATCTAGGCTAATAGTAAGCCGTAGTTCGTTATTATTAAGACTTCCTATATCCTCTATAGAAGCTAGAATATAGCCTTATATATTATCGGCTATAAGCTTAAGAGCGGACTACCTATCTTCTATATTAGTTATACTCTTATACTACCTAAGGTAGTTACTTCTTCTAAGTAAGACTCTATTTAGGAACTTTATATAAGGGTATTCTACTCCGACGAATACCTAGACGATACGGAACTACTTAACCTTATTAATATCGCTATACGTAGCTACGGATCTAATAGAGTATCTTATATCTTTATTATTAACGATAATCTAAGTTCCCTAATCCTAGTTTACTAATCTAAGTAGAAGGTAGGCCTCGTATTTATAGTCTTGTATAATATCCCCGGCTAGTATAAGTAAGTTTATTATAAATCAGAAGGTATACCTAATACTATACTAATAATTCCTATAGGAGTCTTCTACGATATCTATAGTTATAAATATAGTAATCCGTTCCCTAGGAACTCTATATCTATATCTAACCCTAATCTAGTTTAATATATAGACTAGGCTACTAGCTACTATATCTTAGATACCGAAGGTAATCTAACTCGCCGATAATAAAGATACTACGTACGAGAGGTCTAATAAATATAAGACGCTACTAACCTACTAACTAAACTAGCCTAGACTTAAGTATTAATTAAACCGCTATAGCTCCGTATAACGCGACCGGACCTACTCTAAGCTAAAATTACTAATCTTACTATCGGTCGCGATCCTACGAAGATAGGCTCCTTTATATCCCTACTACTTAATATTAATACGCTACGTTATATCCTTCTACTATATCCCGGCGCTCTCGTCCTCGGATATTTCAACTATATAGTATTATAAGACTTCCGAGCTCGGCTAGGCGATAGATCCGAGGCCGTCTTATACTAGATTCGCCTCCTTTTAAGTAGTCTTAATATCGTCTACGATATAATCTACTATACCGAAGGTCTTCTTCTACTTAAATAGTATATATAAATAGTTCCTACTAACGAATTTCGCGACGCGCTCTAACTTCTATTTACTAGCTTAAGACCCCCCTATACTAATATATCTTTTATACCTCTCCCAGGAAACTTTTAATATTTATACGTTTATCCCTAATTCTTACGTTTATCCCCGATTCCTGCGTTTATCTTACATTTATCCCCGACACCGAGGATAGCGTCGATCTTTTGATAGTAGCACCTATTAGGGGCACCTACCTGGTAACAGGGTAAGCCCCTATCTCTATCCTAATTAGGTAAGGTCTCGTGACCGCTATCTATAACCTATATCTTCCAACCGTAGTTTACTCAGAATGAACTATGTTTCCTCCTTCCAACGCTTTTTCCGTAGCAGGTCCCGAGAGCGAAGATGATACGGGAGGTGTGCTTGGATGCTGCCAGACCGGAAGAGCTCGTCCGGGTATTCCGGACAAGCAATCTAGCCGACAGGTATTCAAACTCGCTAGGCTTCGACGCATGATTGTACGTGACATGGGAGCTCTGAACGGACGTGGGAATGACAATCGGCATATGCTCGATCAAATGAATCATTAAACCGTAAATAGGCAGTAAACTAAGGAACAGTGTCTCGGAAGTACACAGACAGAGACAACGCTAGGATGGCAACTAGACCAAGAATGCCGGGAACGGAAAACCCCAGCAGAAAGGCAATCAACGAAGGAATTTCAGATACGGTCATGACCTCGCTGATTTCCACCATGTACAGGGAAAAGAGAGCAGAATGAGCTGTTGGTGTGCGCGCAGGCCAGGAGGAAACAAAACAAATAGAGAAAAAGGTCAGAGATTGTGGTTGTTCGGCTGGTGAGTGATGTGAGCTAAGGAACAGAATGTGCCGAATGAATGGAAGGAAGGATGTGAGAAAGGGAACTTGTAAAGGGAACCTGTCAGGCGTTCAGCACCAAGATCATGGCTGGCGCAAATTCATGATGACGCCACGACAAGAGAAAAGAGAAAGAAGACCAAATGGTATGCAAGGGCAAATCATGAATATTCAAAATGCGGGGCCAGCGCGGAAGACCGGGAAATTCAAGGCTTGGCCTCGGTGATGGAAGAATGCTTGTGAGGGTCTGTTGATGCGAAGGTAGAAGGGTCAGGTAGTTTAGGTAGTTGCTCTGAATTATCTCTCAATTGAGGGTGTCGCGTGACGAGTGGAAATTCAGGCACCCTGAGTCGTGGCAAGCAGATGATGTCTAGTACGCGCAATGTCGGAAGGCTTTTACTTCTCCACTTTCTGCCATTCGTTCAAGTAAGCCATCAACCCTACCCCAAGGAGAACCACCCCTAGCATGGATGCATACGGGCTCGCTGCTTCAAGGTATGGACGTCTTTTGTCAAGTGTGACGACATTTCTTGATTGGGCGGGGGCGATTGCTTGCATGGTTGAATCACCCGATTCTGTGGGCGAAGTATCAATATCAGATACAGATTCGTCGATGGAAACAGTCTCAGGGGACGAAGGGCTGTCTGTGAAGCTCAAGCTCTTTTGATCTTGAGCAGCTTTGAGAGCGGCCAAGTCCTTCTCTTCGCGCTCTTGGCGATCCTTGCGAATGGTTTCAATCATCTCTGCAAGTGACTGGCGCAGGGTGATATTATCTTTTTCGGAGGCTTCTGCTCTATCCTTGAGGGCAGCCATCTGCTTGTGCATCTCGTCCATCTGTTTCATGACAGATTCGAGGCGCTCCTGCAGCTGTGACTCGGTAGAAGATTCTTCAACCTTTGAGTCCACGTCAGCCGAACCATCAGTGAACTGAATTGCCCCGTTGGTTTTGGCAGGTTTCGTAGACTCAAAGTCTTCTTCCTGACGGGCCTGAGATTGGAAATCCAGATGTGCAGGTATTATTTCCGATGTTGGACCATCGGCAGAGTCAGAAGTCTCAGGCGGGGTGTCCATTTCCAGCTGCTTCACCTTCTCTTCGGCAGACTCCCGTGCGGCCTTCTCTTGACGGAGGAGATCCTCAAGCTCTTTGATTCGAGATCCCTGTGTCTCGATTTCCCGTTTGGTCATCGAAAGACTTTCAAGCAGAGCCAAAATCTGGCTGGAGTCGCGCGAGACAGGTGAGTTAACAGCTCCTGTCCTTGGCCTCTCGGTATCGCTACGCTTCAAAGGCGAAAAAGCATCGGGCCCATTACGGGTTGGCGCATCTGGTTTCTCAGGAAGAGGTTGTTGCGGGGGGGGAGCGGGTGGCTCTGAAAATCTGGAGAAGGAATCGACTCGAGGCATCTTGGGACGACCATTGAGCGGACGTGCGCCATTGCCCTCGAGAGGTGAAGGTTTGTTGGCCTTCTGCTTTTCAGCGTAGCCAGGCTTCATTATCGCTGTCAGAAATTCATCTGTCTGCCGCAGGTCTGAGGACTGCTGCTTAGCTTGCTTTAATTCGCTCTGTAATATATTCTTGTTAGTACGATTGATCAATGCTCATTGCTGAAGAACTTCCTGACCGCAACCCAGACTTACATTTAATCTCTTGACGACTTGCTCCACAGAAATCGGGGAGCTCCAGTAGTTCATCTGACGTTGTTGGTGCATCACATTCAAGTGACTGCTCGCGTTACTTTGCACACTGCGACTACTTACGTTGCTTCCGGAGCGGCCTCGCAGATGTGATAGAGGCTGGCTAAGAGGTGACGGCAATAAGCCACCTCCTGATGCGGGATCCAGGTCCCCGAAATTGAGGTCAAGAATACTTGGTGCTGCGCCGTAGAGACCTGCATGCTCCACTTTTGCGGAGACTTTGTGGTGCACAATGGTATTCTGGTCTTCGCTGACAATATCAATTCCCAGTTCCAGCGTGTCGTGCTCTCGCAGCTCATGCGGTTCGGATTCGCGGTTTTCGAGTGATAGCCGGTGACCATTCACGAAAGTGCCATTCGACGATTTCACGTCGCGAATCCAAATTTTACCAGATTTGTCAGCCCAGATCTCGGCGTGCTGCCGAGAAAGCACCTTGGAATCGAAGAATCCATTCACTGGAGTGGGCACGGTTTTAGCATTCGTCTGGCGACCAATTCTCAGCACCTCAGGGAAGAAGGGAACATTGATTTGTTTCTTCTCAAAGGTATTGTTGAGAGGAGTAAGCGCGAGGATCGCGGGTGGTTCAGCAGACTGTCCATTCATTTGTCGGACCCCATTCTGCTGGGGATTCTGTAGTACGTGGTGCGAGGGAACAACATTTTGGGCCTGGTGCATGGCGGTCATCGTCGATGGACCTGTTGGCCCAGATGAGAAAGCCGGGACGATCTGAGATCGTGCGTTCGTCACGCCAGCAACAGGCTCCGCCTTTGAACTGGGCCAAGGATTTCGGATGGGCTTCTTCTTTGCAGACCAGGGGTTCTCTTCAGAGCCAGGCTGTCCGGCATTGATGTCTTGGGCGCCCTCTGTTGAGATGACCGTTGAGGTTGACGAATTTGAGCCCACTGAGGAGGACGAATTAGATCGCTGTAGCTGTTTCCGAGGCATGAAGATCCGTGATACGTCTTCTGCGTTCACTGACGAAAGGGAGCCTTGTCCTCCGTCACCAGCACTGTACCATCCCAGACGTGACCCCGATTGCACACTAGGTGGAGATGCAACAGCAGTCATGGAGAAGGTTACCAAGTCTGGTGGTCATACGATCACTTTTATGGGGAGAACAATAGTCAAAGATAGGTAAGCCCCGGCAGCACGACTATCATTCGAAGAGAGAGCGTCCGATCAATCACTGTGTTCTCGTGATATATGCTTATTGCGTGCCAAATGCGACAAGCCGCAGCGCAGGCCACAGGCCTGCTCGCGTCAATATGGTGCCAACTGACTGAGAAGCGCCGCGTTAGTAATATGTAAACAACAATGCTCTTAGTTATGATCAAAAGCCTAGTATGCCGGACTGATGATAACCTGTGACGCGATGAGATTTGAGGCGAAACGTACTCAGAATTGTGGGTATTTGAGGACTTGAAAGTTTAATAGGGCGGAAAGTCAGCACTGCTAGCCAAGGAGGCGTGTGAGGTCTTGCCGAGAGGTGAGTAGCGACCGTGGGCCACAACGTCCGAGGTTGCTCAGGGAAGCTGAAAGGGACAGTCGCCTCGCCTGAGACTCGATAGTGCCCTATCCGCGGTGTATGCAGAGTCAATATGGAACTTAGCGGCGGCCAGCCGTAGAGACAACTCGCATCAAATTGGGAATTTTGGGAGATGGCCTGGACGTTGCTCCCTTGACGCCTCACTCGAGGAATATCACGTGCCTTCGCCGCACGTGCCAATGCGACCGTGGTAATCACGTGACTAGGCGGTGAAGTCATGCTCCAAAGCGGAGAGAAGCCATGACATATCCATCTGAGACTAGAATATTCCTTCTCGCGATTGAACTCAGGGAAACTAGAGACATTCAAGTGAGCACTCGACAACATATATATTCTGGTCTGCTGTAACTGACGGCGAGTTTCACAGAAATCTATCTCTCCTATCATGCCTGTTGTCGCAGCCCCTCCCGCAGGAGGACCCGTTGGTCCGTCGACATTCGACAAGAGTATGTTATTCGCTGAGCGTACACTTCCCGCTCTGGACTTTCGGTCTCGGAATCTCAGCTTGCTGACGTGAATTGTATCCAGTGAAAATGGGTGCCATGATGGGCTCAAGTGCGTTGTGAAGAAGAATTTTGTGGAAATCGAAAGAAAGTATGCGCTGACACGGGATCTGCATTGCAGCTGTTGGTGGAATCATGGGCTTCATCGTCGGTATGTAATTGCCTGTATAAAGGGGTAGCAGTTCAAGATTTGATCTGACAAGCTGTCCAAGGCACGGTGACCATCTTCCAGTACGGCGCCGGCCCCAATGGTGTTATGCGCACTCTGGGGAAGTACATGCTCGGTTCCGGAGCCACTTTTGGGTGAGTTCAATATCTTTTTTCCACTTTGTCACATACAAAACCATTTACTAAGCAAGTGACTTGTTCGGTGTCATAGACTCTTTATGTCCATCGGCAGCGTCATCCGCACGGAAGGACAACACAACGACGCCTGGCTCCGTGCCCGAGGCCCTCCTATTATGCTCCCACGCCAAAGCCCTCTGCGCCAGATGCGCCAGATGCGCCAATAATATACCGCAAATCTTAACTATCTGGCTTGTCCACTGGAATATGTGGCATCACCAGGATAAGGGGACGATGTATGTACGATAGTCATCTGTCTTTCAAGCGTTTCCACAGAGCCAGCTGAAGCCTGCGTCCGCGATATTTTCAGCCTTGGCACTCTATTGAGCTAGTAGTGACCTCAAAGACTCGTCCTCGCGATTGCTCGCAAGACATGAATTATGATACCCTTGGATGAGATAGGCTCGATGGAGTTTTGACTGTCTGCGTTTGACCGGCGACATTTCTTTGGAACCAAGGACGCCGGTTGACCTTAAAATCTACAAACGTGTACATTCGATACCATCAGTACGATCTGTTTGAGCGATTTCTTGGAAAGGCCACCTTGCCGACCAAGATTGATCGTTCACCTTTGATCACTTCCTCGGTCCATATGACTGACCTGCTAGAAGCGTCGAGATAGGTTCTCAACTAGCGTGGCAGTAGGTACCAGGTCTGACATGACGCCATCTGAGGACATGGATGTACATATGGGTGGCAATGTTCTCACCAGAACTTCCGGGTTGCAAAGACCAGGAAGTACATGATCAACAGGACTGTAGGATGACCCTAGCTCCGGTACTGCTCAGCATCTGCACGGCGTTGTATGCTGTCCCCCTTCATGTCTGTCACGGCCAGGAGAACCATCATCTGAGCTGAAAAGTAAAGCAATAACTTGCCTCGCCTTGCTATGTTTGGATAGGATTAAGCTCTCTACGGCTAATCGAAAAGGATGTTTCAGCGTATCGGATTCGGTTGTTGTGGCCTCTGACGAGACACGTTTTCAGTCCTAAGACCACTTTGGTCTCTCGGCTTGTATATACGCCTAGAGATCAATGCCAGGTACAAGTTGAACCTAGATATCACAAAAGGTATAGCCTGTATTCATTAGTTTACGTACTTTGTCTTGTGACTTTTCAACAGATTCGCATAACTTTTCTGCCGTAGATCTCACGAGATGAAATATGTGACGAACCCTGAAAGATATTCCAGGTTCTAGCGATATTCCCAACGAGTGCGATCTTCGCAGATTGCTCCTCCATATATGCGGCGACTCGACATGACCTACAATCCTACATACCTCACTATCGTTGGCGATTAAAGACATAACCTCGAGCTTGTAGATGGATCCAATCTTTTCAAAAGGTTAAACTCCACTCCGGTCTATGAAGCAAGTAGTTTCTTTGCTGCAAAACAAGTTGAGGCTCGGAATAAATATTGACGAGTTTCATGAGGGGATGATCCAGTAAATCTACTATTTCTCAACCCGTACATATGTCCGATTGGCGATTCAGCCCGGATGCGACTTAGATCATTCGAACATAAGACTGGGAAATTGAAAGCAATATAGGTAAGATCTAAGGAACATCCATTGCATGTTTTAACCGTTGCCAAACTCGATGGAGTCTGGTTAACACCGAATAACTACATAGTACAGCACCTACCTACCAACTTACATATAACTAGTACATAGTACAGACTACAGACTACAGACTTACAGAGTACAGAATACATACTCTAAATGCATCATAGTTGTTTCTGGGTGTGGAAGACACCGCGCTCAGCAGCCCACGTGAGTTCAACATCATGAGGAAATCCTCGGCGCGATCACATGGATTCAATCACACCAAGACCCGGGTTGGTACTACCTCCAGTGCTGAACACCTCCTACCTTACCTAACCCAAATACACTTACTACTTATATACTGTCATATACTATCACCCAGGCAGAACACGTCAAGATGAGCTGTCATGGTCACACTAGTACTACACGAGTGACCAGACTACTGACTCGAGAGACTCTTACTTACACAATCAACAGCCCGTGACGCCACTCCAGCTAAGGCCCCCGCACGTCACGCTTCTGCCTGCGTGGAATCACTCACCTCCTCATCTGCCCGCCCCAGAAGACCCAAGCGACTCGTACCTGCACGGGCGACGCCAGGGGTGCCCTCACCTAGACTTTTCAGATGACACAAATGGTCCAGATATGATGAGATGACAGCCAGCAGCCCTCTCGCTGCCCTGGAGACGCTGCCGTCATGTCAGGTCTCGAACACCTCTGGGAGCTCTGGTTAGATCACGACATGAAAAATGACAACATCAACAAAAGCACACCGATGGTCCGATGCGGGATGAACACCAACCAAGGCATTGGCGCGGCTTCCTGAACTGACGAGAGACAATGAGCTTTAAGTGGGGAGGGAGGCGTCTTCCAATGTCCAAAGCCAGCCCGACTTTGCCTTTTGAGTTCGACCGCCTCCAAATCTGGGGAGGGGGAAATCTATCATTACGGGCATTTTCCCGTAACCTCGAGGTCCTGTGACCGATCGGCCCCTCCGCCTTCATCCTTCCCTCAAGCCGCGCTTCGCTTAAGGCTCGAGGAACGAATCCCTCCAAGCCCATTGAAAGTCTCGAATACTAGACTCCTGCAGGAATCGAGCGCGAGGTTTTACCTACAGAGCTTGCAGGGTGATCAGCGCCGACCCAGAGACAAGAGAGACCCTGAGACACTTTCGATCAGCTCCCTCGCATCGGACCGGGGGATGAGGCCGAAGGGGGCCTACCCACGCATGAGTCTCTGGCATGGGGGAGGCCCGCTGGCTCTTGGCATCCATCGCTTGACTCGAGGACAGGAATCAAGCCGCCGGGCACGTTGCCCCTGACCCAATGGACAACAGTGCTGGTTGGAGAAAGTTATGAGTCGTGAGGGTCGTCGCGGCAAGTCTCCCTGAGGCGCTCGACAGCTGCACACCACTTGAGGATTGTCCCCTCGAGTCTCAAGTCTCCACCGTTCGGTTCTTGGACCGGCCCTAATTTGAATAGTCCAGGAACCGTCCGGTCAACCGCCCAATCACCACCCGATCCAGGAACCCCCTTCGACGCTAGCGCCGCCATCATGCTGCACCAGGTGCATGGACGTTGTGGTTCACTACTACCTTCACTCTCTCCCCTCCGCTTTGCCGACGAGGTTCGAAATTAAATTCGAACCCAGAAAGTGGCCCCCAAGGGAGTCTCGCGAGTCCTAGGGTCCCGAGCAAATTCTGTCTGGACCAATGGCCCTGCGTCCCCGGGTAGTTGGCAATTTCGCATGCGTGACAAGTGGAGTGATAGTCTCCCAGATAGGGTCCACGGCGACCCCCATCGCCCATGGATCTTCCCGATGCTGGTACCTGAGCAGCACGCAGCTCTCGTTACTGAAAAGTCCAGGTTTGACCTGAGCCAGGGAGAGACTGCCAATTTCCTTCCACGCTCTTGCTCAAGGGGCCTGGCTCGTTGATAGGCGCATTGACCCTCGGTAGGAACAGTGCTCGTGGCTGTTCGAGCCCAGGGACAGGACCATCACTCTCAATATTCCGATGATCATTATTATCTTGATGAGCCAGACGTTGTCCATCTTCTGGCCAACGCTACCGCCGAAGGGGATTGGCTCTACTTAATACGGGACGGCTATCCCACCTCCCCGTCATACCCTTCTTCCCTTCTTCTTTCTCCTTGTAAGGCGCATCCGAGAGAAAAAAAATCCTTCCTCGCCCTAGTCACTCTTTCTTACCGCCAGTCGTTCATTCACTCGTCACACTGAAGGCCTCTTTCCTGATACTCAATCAAGTCACTCCTTTCTACATCGTCACTTCACTCTCCCAACGAGTCCACACTCCTTAACTTATCCACACTCCTCTTGACCTTGCTAGTCCTGGTCCGTTTGAGTTTCACTCCTTTGCTCAAACACACTGCACGCGCTTGACGTGTTTCTCTCCGACGACGATTGTATAGACGTGTTTCACGATCTGACAGCTCCGCGCTCCCTTCACGCACGGACTTACAGCCTGTCATCGACTTTATCAGCCTGTGCTAGTCTCTTTGACTCTTGCGCCGTCTTTTTGCTCCAGCTCTGTCACGAGTGCGACAAACGCTACCATTGTGCGCGAGTCACTCTATTCACGAACCATGAAGTTCAGTGCTGTCATCTCTTTTCTCTTCCTTGCCGCCGCCCCGGTCATGGCGGCGGAGGATAGTGTCACTTCTGTTGCCACGACCACTATCACCAAGACCTTGATTCGTGTGAACGCGGTCACCCCAACTCCCAGCTCCAGCGCAAGCATGATGACTGTCTCGACTCCTCTGGTCTCGTCGACTCCGCTAGTCTCTGCCACAGCTACCTCGTCCCCCTTGTCGGCGTCAACCTCAGCTTCAGCGACTCCCACTCACAACGGCGCTGCGGTGCTGAGTACCGGCCTCCCGGCGGCTTTCATTGCAGGATCGGTCGCGCTGATCATGGGCGCTGCCTTGTAATCGAACTCAATCTCACAGAGCGCAAAGGACCACTTCTTTCGCAATCGAGTTCTCGCTGACGTTCTCCCTGATGACTGTTGCCCGCAAAGGTGCTGGTGCTCATCAATGTATACGGCGTCGGCCGAGGAGGCGCCCCGGTCGGGGCGCGTCATCATTGCTGCCGTTGATCTCCAGTCGAGCCGGAGTAATTATTTTTTCTCTTGACTCTATAATTACCTTTCTCTTCTTGTTTCCCATTTTGGAGTGTCAATTTTGATTCATCCTCCTGGTCTGCTGGAGACCCGATCGTTAACGACGATGTCGGCCTTTTCTATCTCTTCTCAATGGCTTCCACGTGTCTTATTTTTTTTTCCGAATACCCCTTTTCATGAATTCTGTGTCCACGAGTTGATGTTGACTTCTCCCTATCTATCTTCGATGTCCCCCACTTTGACTACCATTTCACTTCTTCTGTCTCTATGTTGTCCTAAGCTAGATGTGAGATTCTTTTCCCATCAGAAACACTTACCAAGTGTTTAATATATACTGAATTGAACAGATCAGGTCGTTCTGGGACCTTTGCTGATTCATGTACTACAATCATACAATGACTCTTCATTCCTAGACCTCGTGGGCTGTCAAGGACTGTCAATGTTAATTCCCTTCTCAGTAATGGGCTGGATTCTCTAGCCATTCCGGGTCGATACGTTGATGCAATTGTACAGAATGCCCGTCCGGTCCTTGTGGAGTGGATGACGATGGTTGAACATTCCGATTGATAGCCGTCCGCTTCCCCAGCCTGAAATGGCCGTGCACCCACGCGTCCGCCACATTGGACAAGGTGTCGTACAGGACTCGATCTTATCAGTCTATCCAGTGTATCCACCTATAAGTATCTTTGAGTTTGAACTCAAGCTCTATCACTAGGCACTTGGCTGCAATCTCACACATGCGACGCAAAAGATTGATGTCTGTGTCCCCTCCGACAGAGAAATCAAGTTGGACATCCGTACTTCTGTCAGTTTGGTGAGCACCTGACCGTCTGCTCACGGCCAGCGTGGACCTCACTAGGTAAAGACTCCCCCCGCAGTGGGCCCCACGACGCGTCGCGACATTTTGGATTCAAAGTCAACTCCCGCTTCGACTGCACCTTTCTCGATCTTGATCTTGGAGGGAGTCTGAGGGGCCATTCGAACATCTGCCGGACCGTACGGCAGTGCAGATATCCCTCAAATGGATAACGAGATCCCTCTGCCCCCTCCTCGGCGGGTTCGATACCGATCTCCATCCCGTTTCGCACTGCCGGGCTCAGGCTCAGGCTCGGGTTCGGGTTCAATCGCATCCTCCTTTCACAAGTCGCGTCGATTCTCACGCTTCGATGATCGATCCAGCCAGCCATCAAGTGACCCGGCGCTCTTCTCCAGCGATGACATTCCCGCGTCGGGCGTAGAGAATTACCACGCCCCCGTAGAGGGCGCCGGGCGCAAACGCAGATACCGAGGAACCTGGTGGGGAGAACAGGTCATCGATCCGAAGCGGAAAAGAGCTGATTTCAAGGAGAAGCGAAATGTCGACAGTGGAGTGTGGATGGGGAGTGACGACTCGTTTGCGGAATCTTGCTTGCCGTCGGAGGATGCGTCAAATTGGGGAGAGGACCTGCTCAAGACAGTGCTGGATCCACGAGCGCCGAGCAAAGCCCCCAATGTGCCCTATCTCGCCAGGGCATTTGAGTCGACTCCGATTCTAGGGCAGTCTCGGGCGACGACGATTCAGGGACCGGTCGAGTCGGAGGAGCATAAGTATGCGAAAGCCGTGATTGATACTTGTCTCGAGCGAGGTGACGACAATGTCGACCTAGGGTAAGATCTTGTACTACAGGGCCGTTTTAAACGAATCCAAAATTGAGATCAAATGCTGACTGTATGTCTGTGGATGAATAGGGGCATAAATTTGCGCACTATCCCACCAGGCCTGCTACGGCCTCTGCAACATTTGACCAAGCTACCTTCCTTACAAGAAGCACCAATATCCGAGAACGCCTTTTCCTCACTTCAGCCTTTCCTCAGAATTTATCTTTCGAATAACTCCCTAACAAACCTTGACGCCAGCGAGATCTTCGAATTGAAAGATCTCACGGTCCTGAGCTTACGCAATAACAAGGTCACCCGCATTCCGGAAGCAATCCGCAAGTTGAATGCATTGCAAGTTCTCAATATCTCTGTGAACCGTCTTTCCGAGCTCCCTTGGGATCTGCTTTGGTTGATGCAGCAAGGCGAGCTCAAGCATCTGACTGCGCGGCCGAACTCGTTCCCAACAATTGATGAAAGCGACTCGATTGAGTGGCATGGACCATTTGGAAACCCCAACAATGAAGATCGAGATATGGACGAGGATGATGAGGACGTGACGCCATTCAAATACATTCCGACATTCCACGATTACGAGGGGAGACAGGCCCAAGACGAGCGAATTCCTCTTCACGTTGCATCAGGCCCGGTAGAGTACTTTGACATGGAAGGGCGACCCATCAACGCCCGTGATCCAGTCGAATCCTCAGCTCCATCGCTTCGCGAGGTATCTCTGCGCGCAATATCCCGACTCCCAGGTGTTGAACAGCTCACAGACGAGGAACTGAACGATGAATTCCCCGCGCTTGTCATTCCTCTCATTGCGCTGGCGCGACGAGCTCGGCAAGAAGGAATTCGCCATTGCTCAGTCTGTGAGCGGGAGTTTGTAATTCCTCGAGCCGCGTGGACAGAATGGTGGGATTGCACACCCCATGAGAACGGCATGAAGAGAGCTCGAGTACTCGGCGAGCAGCTCAGACCTCTTCCTTTCAGAAGGTCTGTCTGTAGCTGGGCCTGTGCGCCTCGTAAGCGCTAATTTAGCTTGAAAGGACGAGGCGGTCGTGCATGACATTGTACATGGTTATTTTCATCCCAGTGTATCAATTTTTGATGTTTATGTATAAGGCTTACAGTTGCCTTGCAAATATTTCTATTGAATCCTCATTTGATGTCATCTTGACATCCTTGACCTTCATATGCTCAATACCCCATGCGTAGTCCACGGCGGAGCAGTGTGCCTGGAGTTGTGCTTTGATCTTCAGGAGCACGAGCCTGGATTGTTATAGGTGCTTGTTGAGGTCCTCTGAGGTAAAGCGTTGTCCCATCATGTTGCCGGGTGCTTTATCGGCGAAATGTGCCATAGCATGCCGCGATCGTAAGCCGCCACGATGGAATCTGTAGACCGTCGATGATTTTGTGCTCTGACACTGCCAGGTCTTAAACGGCGGTTATGTGGTAAGTGCCTTCCCGTGGACGACAATTTGACACCGTACGGAATAAGCCTTGGTTGAAAGCAAGAGGAGGCATTGCTAGAAATGTCACAGCCGCAGTGTCTGGCATGTTCTGTCCAGTGAACTCTTTTCAATCATTGTCGGGATGAACCGTATTCACTTCAGACTGACGGCCACTTCCACCATCTTTATCCATCGGGTTCGGCTCTCAGGGAGCTCGGCATCTTCCGAGATAGCAGAAGCTGAACGTTTGCCCTTTCTCTTCTTCGCTGGTTTCAAGGAGGACTTTGCTTCTCCGCCCGACTCCTCTGGCCGCCCAGCGCCCTGATCTAACGAGGCAGGCTGTTCAGCATTCTGCGATTTCATCTCCGTCTCTCGGTGCTGCTGCTGTTCCCTTCTTAATTCTCTCTCTTTCTTCTCCTCATCCTCAACAATGTCATCGACCACAAGGACACTCCCCGTCTTAGTCCGCACAATATATTCCGCCTCCTTCTCCTCAAACCACTTGCCCACATTAAGCGCCTTCTCAATCGCACGGCCCGTGGCCTTGACAAAGACCTCCTCCCGCTTCTCAGTCACCTTGGCCAGCTCTGCAAGCTTCTGTTGCTCTGATTTTCGCCCGTCGTCGAGGCCGATCTTGGACGTTGCTCGCTTTTCAGCTTGACGTAGCAATTTCTGGACGCGCTTCACGGCGCTCATAAATGGGGTGTTGCTGGAGACGTAGACAATTTTGGGCACAGCGGCGCCTGCATATGGAGAAGCAACAGGAGGATGGGGAATGGGACGTTTTTCAACCTTGGCATCTGCATATTATTGTCAATTTTGCGGTTGTTCTGCTTTGCGAAGAAGAACTGCATGCGCAATTGGCATGTCTGCTAGAGAAGGGCTTACATTTGGGGAGTTTGGTAAGATTCTGATTGTTCTTTTCAAATTGGAGCTTGCGCTCCAATGGACCTTTACCCATGACAGAATCGCTTTGTTAGATTCTGCGCGTGAATTGAGGCTTCTCGTGATTTCGCGGGGAGGATGTTGCGCGAGCTGGTTATCGTCATTATCTTTTTCTCTGCCCAGGCGGTGGGCCCCGAGTTGGACTGCGGGCAAGTGCTTATCGCTCTTATCGATGTACAGGCACTGGGGCTGCGACGGCCGCCTGGACTCTACACGGCAGGGCCTAATTGTCATCTCAAAGTCTCCTCACACATATGTGAGGGCTTTGAGAATGCAATACCAAATGGTGTACGTCTGAATACAATCTGCCTTTGACTTGTATCAATCCTCATAGTCAGCTTGTCCAAAAAGACCGTGACTTCCCGGGTATATCTCGGTCGTCCGGTTAAATGCTCGCTGGCTTCCATGGCTCCAACGCTCATGCCCAGATCTGACCCCGCGTGGAGTGATGAAGGTTCTCCGTGCGGGGTCTCGGCCATGAAGAGAATGATCCAAGTTCTGTTTTCAAGGAGATTAGCCTACGTCTCTGCCAGTCAGCTGGCTCGGTCTCAGTGACTAGTATCGACACGTCGTTGACCGATATGTTCCGGACATATCGTTTGTCAGTCTCACCCGCCGTGACTCCCTTTTGAATCTATAAGGCGCCTCCTGGTGAGTCTAGAGGGAGCTTAAGAGAGCGCCAAGCTCACAGACGGTCTGCCTTTGTGTCATCTGATATTATACCACGGTGCCTTTTTTTTTTTTTGTTCGAGTTCCAGATTTGAGCACACATCTGTCGAAATGGCTCAGAGTTCGTCGGAGGGGGTCCCCCATCTACGTCGAGTGGGCACGACGCAGCAGCTGGTGGTCAAGGGTAGACCATTTCTTGCTCTCGCCGCAGAATTGCAGAATTCTTCGATGACATCCGCAGAGTACATGGAATCAGTCTGGCCGGAATTAGTCGCAACGAACATCAACACCGTCCTGGGATGTGTGACCTGGGAAGACATTGAGCCAGTCGAGGATAAATTCGACTTTACCGAACTGGACAGGATTGTTTTGCGCGCTAGGGATTTCGGCCTCCACTTGGTTCTGCTCTGGTTTGGATCTTTCAAGAATGGTGCGTTTTGCCTTGGCTTAATGAAGAGGGTCATTCATGAATTTCTCGAGACTGACACTAGTGCAAGGCATTTCTACATATACCCCCGCGTGGGTGAAAACAAACCCGCGACGGTTTCCTCGAGCCAAGCTGCGCCAAGCAGGCGGCATTCTTCAGACCGGCGATGTCTTGTCGATATTCCATCAGGAAGGGTGTCACGCTGACGCGAAAGCATTTGGCCGTCTACTCGCCCATATCAAAAAGATCGATGGCGAGGATTCAACTGTGATTATGGTCCAAGTCGAGAATGAGGTCGGTTTACTGGGTGACTCGCGAGATGGATCTGTCGCAGCAGAGGCGCGATTTGATGAAGCGGTTCCCGAGGAATTGATTCAATTCCTAACGCGTGATTGGAACTTACTACATGACGATCTGAAAGTCAATTTGAAGCATTTCAAAGGCGTGTCCGGTAGGCCCGGTCGTTCGTGGGAACAAGTGTTTGGCAAGGGAGCTCACACTGACGAATTGTTCATGGCCTATCATTATGCCAAATACCTCGACCAAGTGGCAGCCGCGGGAAAACAGGCGTACCCCCTTCCCCACTATACAAATGTATGGCAACCCTTTGGAGATGGCGAGGATGAAACCAATGTCCCCGTCGTTGCCGGAGGGGAGGAAACCCTGGTGACTATCCATCCGGGGGCGGCACGAGTACCGTTCTTGACATATGGCAGGAGTTTGCTCCTTCATTGGATTTCATTTCGCCCGACCTATATCTGAACCACTATGCAAGTTGCTGTCGAAAGTACCGCCATCGCAATCAGCCACTGTTCATACCCGAGCAGCGACGCGATGAATATGGGGCCAGACGCATATGGACAGCATTTGGGTCGAACCAGGCCATCGGAGTATCGCCCTTTGGTATTGATACCGTTGAGTCCGCTACAAACCCCTTCACCAAACACTACGCGCTGCTCAAATCGATAGCAACCATCATTCTCGACGCGCAGACCCGTCCAGATGACTTGGTTGGATTCCACATCGATGAGCTGGCGGCAGATGGGGGTGACTCCTTCAAGCCAGTGATCAAGCATTGGGGTGGATATGAACTCATCATTGAGCGATGCTTTGTCTTTGGCAAGCCAGGACCGGGAGCGGGAATGGTTATTCATCTAGGCGACGCTCGATTTCTACTGATCGGGTGGGGGTTCCAAGTGCGAGCTCGATCGCTCTCGCCGACAAGCACATTCACTGGGTTTCTCCGCTTTGAAGAGAAGCAGGTGGTTGACTCGGATACGGGGCAGTTGAGAACGTTGCGAGTGTTAAATGGCGATGAGACTCGCAGTGGGATCGCGGCGATGATGCCCGCGGAGGATCCAGATTATGGAGGGTTTCCGATCTGTGTCACCATTCCTGCGAGAACGATGATTGCAGAGCTGGCGGTTTACTCGATTCAGGAAGAAGACGAGATCTAGACCAGGGTCGTCAAGAGGGTTGGAGTCTTTCTCCGATTGACGATTGGAATGGCCACAAAGCAGGGTTCCCATTTTGTGGAGTTGTCTGCCATCATGGTGCAGTCTGTCATCAAAGGAATGGTCCTGATAATTGATGCTTGTCACGTATATGGAAGGGACGCTTCAAAGGTCTCATTCTTAGCTGGGTGCAAACTCTTTGCTTGTACGATTTGCATGATTGTGTCTCGAGTACAGGCAAGATTGACTTTCAAGTTCTCAAAAATGTCTCGTCACTCGTTATGACCTGCCTCAAGTCCCTGAAAGAGTTCACCAGGTCACAAGTTCCTCTGGTCGGAATTCCATCCCGCATTCATACCTCTAGATCTTTCGCGTTGGCTAATTCAGGTCCGTGCTCCATACTTTGCCGCACCACCTGAGACGCGGGGCGATTCTCAATACAAAGAAAGATAGAGGATACCTGACCTCTTGAAGATGACTCGGCTTCATCATTCGGTCGGGTATCACCGAATATCTGGCCATCCTCCCTCCTCAAATGAAAGTGCGAGCGGAAGCCCGATCTCGGACGTGATTAGGAGCCTACACGAGTCGGGTAGAATAACGTCATGGGTAGGGTGAGCTCAATGCTAAGATGCACCAAGGTACTACCAGTACAACACTTGATGACTCGCAGGGCCCCGAAATTTCATACCTCTGAAAAACCTCGATTCAACCCCCTATGTGTTGAAGTGTCAACTATGAAGTGGTCAATCCACCAAAGCACGTACTGAATGGCGACACATTGCGTAAATACGTAGTGGTACTGTTCCTAACTTCCTGATCTGTCTCCACTCCGCAGCGCAGCGGTCGCGTTTCAGAGTGAAACCATGCTGATGACGAACACGTGAGGTGTGCGTGCATGGATCCATAGTGGCCTTTTCCATAGGTTTCTGCGGACCAAGTCTCTCCCCCTGCGAAAATTGGGAATGGGGAATGTCAGGATAGGGAGACTGTTCATGTTTGAATTTTGGTGCTTCCAATTTGTGCTTTGTGTTTCGAGGTTCGATAATAGTTGTTTCATTCATCCGCGCGAGTGAAGGGCTATGGTGACGCAGACGATGAGAGGGACTGCTAGTGTCGAAGACGCCACTGATGGTCAGGCTCCCCTGTTGCGTCGAAGACTCGAGATATACTCGAGTTATGCGAATGCCTACTGTCCAGTGCCTCCTAAATAGGTTACCTGGTAGTGCACTACTAGGGAGGTGGTACTTGAGGTATTATTGTAACAGTCAGGTAGGAAGCGATGCGATAATCGGCAAAAAGTCATACCCGTGAACTTCATCTTCCAGACATAAGCATACATCCGAAAGATCTCGAGCTGTTGACTCGGTCGGGCGCATCACAACGCGATTAGCACTCGGGCTTCTATAGTAGTAGTGTGGGCTCGTCCCTTATGGCTGATCTCATAGTTCTAGACGCGAGCGAGTCGAAGCGGCCCGGCAGTTAGGGAGTCGGGACGCTAGTCCTGTGCCGATCGAAATCATCCTGGCCGACCACCTGCCTACTCTACTGTAGAAAGGCTGGCCGTTATGCGATGATCGCCATCTAGTAGTACGTAGATGATTCTTTATTGCCTCGATTGGGCAGTTCAGTTGCTGCACGCTCGAACTCATTATGTTCCGTATGTCTTAGATATGCGGCTTTCTGCACGTATTGGAAGATTAGACTAATGGAGATTGATAGAGCTTAAGATGAATGTGTGCACATGGAACTTGATTTCTGAGTCTGGTTGTCTTTGTGTAGAAAGTTGATGGGTCAGCAAGGCCTGGACTCCTTGACATCTCTGTGCGCGGACTGCGGACGGGTTGTTAGGCCTTTCTGCGGGTCTCTCGCCTCGGCTGAATGGGGAAGGTCGATGGGTTGTCTTGAAGGAACCGTTGGGCGTTGTTGTTGATTGTCCAGATGCCTCGCAGGTGTTGCCTTAGTGAAGTTGTTCCGGTACGTAAACGATTATCGCATGATCGGAGGAAAGAATGACCTCGAGCAACATATTATTAACGGTGCTACAGTGAAAGCATCAAGATCTCCATCTTGTCATGTCTGGTGTGTTCAGACTTCAGAGAGAACACTTGAGGCTCTCTAGGAAAATGCATGATAGCGGAGTTTGCGGGACGGTCGGACTAGCTGTCCCTGATAAAACGGCCTGTATGTCATTTCCATTTCCAAGACCCATCATTGGGTGGTAGACTGTTCGTAGCTCCATAGAGTGAACACTGAACAGAGTCTCAGTCAACAGACCAATGACCGAGTCGACGTATGGTCTTTTCCTGGAGGGGATAATCCAGACTAGTTCTACTGTCTCAGCGCCGAGAAAGCTTCTTGATCGACTTGGCGACAGTCAGCTGCTGTGTAAACAACAACATCGTCGAATGAGGTGAGAAATCCAATCTCCATAGCTGACGAGTCCACACGGGGAAAGTTCAGGATGCGGCACCGACAGGATGTCCGGATGCAGGTACCGGATACGACCAATGATGTTTGCGGCTTGAAGTTTGTACTTTATACACAAGTACTACTGTCCTAGTAGTTAACAGCTACCTACTTGGTATGCTGGGTAGCTGACTAGAACCAAAAAAATGAAAAAAAAGAAGGAAAAAGAAGGAAAAAGAAGGAAAAAGAAGGAAAAAGAATGAAAAAGAAGAAAAAGAAGAAAAAGAAGAAAAAGAAGAAGAAGAAGAAAAAGAAGAAAAAGAAGAAAACAGAAACTCCTACCCGAGAGGTCTGAGTACAACCATGAGGCTGAAGCTCGAACAGTTGGGACTTGGGACTTGGGACTTGGGACTTGGGACTTGGGACTTGGGACTTGGCAGTGTACCTGTGTACCTGAATCCTCGACGTGGGAGATTACGATTCACAAGCCGACCACTTTTCCACGGGTCGTGGGCGGGGGTCGATCGCGATGATTGAATGCGGACCATGGATGACAGGGCCCAACTGGGTTATTTGTTAGTTGACGTCAATGCCACTGGGGAAGCGGGAGGCTCAGTGTTCCATCTCACAGGCTGTTCGTCACTTCGTGCTGGACGTCACCCTTCCAGATGCGATTGATTACTCACATCTCCTCGGCTTCGGAAGCAGCAGTACGATTCCATCTCGGCAGACGGGAGTCGTACCAGCAAAGTTGGTCAATTCTCGAGCTCCGCAAGTGAGCATGAGCTGCGTGCGACAGGTCCAACGATTCCAATCTCGGATGTTTGGCATTCTCCAACGTACACCAACAGTAAAGTCATTTACATAGCTTGTACAGTATGTGCAATACAACATGTCGTCGCGTCGAAATGGTGATTACGTGGGCACGCCTCCACCGGGCGCAGCTCTAAGCAGAGTTGCCTCAGCCACCAGTCGGTCGCCGCATCCCTTTTCGGCCTTTCATCTATCCAAAGTTCCAACGTACCCGGTCTCCCACAACACTGCTACAGTGGCGTGCTACCACAAGACCAAGTACACGCACGGTTCAGTGCTGCTACCTCATGAAGCGAGGTCTTACTATGCGACTCGGATGTTGTTGGTGTCAGGACTCAGTAGATCTAGGTTCAGTAGGTAAGGTAGGGTAGAGAGGTAAGGTATGGCCTGATCTCAGGTCATTCTCACGGAATGGATCTGCCTGGCCAAGTGGACTGTGGACTGTGTCTTGAAGGCACTGCCCCAGTGTCCACTGCCCGGTAGTGCCAGTACTCAGGTACTATGCAACTGGAATGACTCTCGAGGTTCAAGCTTCAGGTCAACTCCGAAAATAACGCTCCATCTCATAGTGCGCGCCATTGACGAATGGTATTATGCCTCCAGGATCTGGCGAGAAAACCTGTCAGAACTTCAGAAGGGCTCGCGCAGGATTCATGGGAGACTTGCATGGCTCTGGACCCTTTTCTGCGAGGAGCCGGGGGGGGGGGGGGGGGGCAAAAATATTCAGAAGCTGATCTTCCGCCGGACGGGACTAATGCAATTACGCACCTCGAGGCTTCACGCATGTGCCCCGGGCATGAATCGGTTAGTGTTGTGTGTGTGTGAGCGCGCCCTTGGGCCCGATGAAGTTATGAAGAGGGGGGGACAGTGGACAGTGGACACTGACAGTAGACTTGACTGGGAATCGCAGAAGCGGATAGGGATGGAAAGGTGAAGAAGAATCCTCGTCGGACGGTAGATTTCTGAGGATGATCGTGACGATCAGGATTATCAGGATGATGATTCTTGACGGGCTTCTCCCAGGGGCGGCTGAGTGCGGTGGTGCCGGTGGATCCTCCCCAAAAGGCGACACATAACCGTCCTGACGGGACGAATCCCCGTCACTCTTGTGGACCTCGAGGAGATCTTCATCGTTGCAAAGTGGAGGTGAAGGAGAAGGAGGGGAAGATAGTTGGAAATGGATTCCGCTCTACCAGGATGGAGGATGGGGTATGACTATGAACTTATCGAGTATGAACTATGGAGAATGACGATGAGTATGGAGTCTCTGGACTATGGAGTATGGACTGAGTTTCGACTACTTCAACCACACACTGATCAATATGCAGACTACAGAGTCGGTGCATCATACAGTCCCGTGATCTTTGTGATAGTTCGCGGCCAAGTCCGCTCCTCGGCCCATCCGCACCGTAAGGGTGGTATGCATCACTGATGTCGGCTTTCGTTTGACTCCATCTCTGGTGGATGGTGATACGGCATGGGGGAGATCCATCTCGTCATGATGCAGTGTGAAGGAATCTTGACCATCGCGGATATGCGCATCGGACCCGCTGCATGATATGTCATATTCAAGGGACTTGGATCGCCAGAGTGCGTTGCAAGCAAACATCAGGTACAACCCCCACTACTACACCAAGAGCTCCGGAACGTAGGAACTGGTAGGACTAGGAAGTGACTTCCGTACTGTACTTTGAAGGATTGCGTCCGGCGTCAGACCATAGTACCCGTCGCATTTACGCGTTCAACTGATTGAGCAAAAGCACGATTGTCCTTTAGTAGTGCCAAGGGTGGGGCACCGTGGGCAGTAATCACTGACGTCCTTGGAAGGTGACTTGAACCAGTTGGGTACCCGATGAGACCTGTGAAACTACGGCATCATCCAGCCGCTCATCGAGTACCCCTCGAGTCGCCTGGACTTCCATCGGAGCCGCGGGGTCAGGAACCAGCAGCCGGGCGGGAGCCTGCTAGAGACAGTGGAGACGGGAGACTCTCTCTCTCGAGGAGTCGAGAGAGACTCTGGACTCTGGACTCTGGAGAGTCCAGAGTCCAGACTCCCGACTCAGTCCCCAAAAGGAATCAAAGGATCCCACACACGATGCACGGTTCAGGTCGACCACACGAACGGGCGCTCGACTGGGAAGGTAGTGGGGGACCGGAAAGGGAGGTCCATCGAGTTGGCCCATTTGCTTGCTCGACCCAAAATGAGGTCCCACGTCTCGCCCGTGAGACCCGCTCGAGAGTCTCGTCGGGTCGTGAGGGTGGAATACGCGGAAATGGGTGGAACCATCGGTGGACACTGGACAGGCTCCAGGACTGGCAAGACTCTGGGTCTATTATGTTCGTGTGGGATCACTGCCAGTGCCCACTGCCGAGTGACTCCAGTTATATAGCAAAAACGGTTCCCACGAAGGTCAGCAAGACATGCCATAGCCTGCGGCTTCTCTCTCCCTCACATTAGACCATCCGATCGACGGTTTCGCGTCCATTCCTTCTCTCGAGTTGTTCTCGCGCTCGGTACCTCGAACCTTTGGGGTACTACAGACCGACAGAGTACAGACCGACAGAGTACAGACCGACAGAGTACAGACCGACAGAGTACAGACCGACAGAGTACAGACTCACAGAGTACAGACTCACAGAGTACAGACTCACAGAGTACAGACTCACAGAGTACTTCTACTACTACTACTGTCCTCAGGTCCTGTGTTTGTTGACAACAATACACTCCCACCACACGACGTGTCGGCTCTTCCCGTCTTTCCATGCAACCCCGTCCCTGGTTCCAGTCTCTCGCTCTGCTGCAGGACTAAATCCACTGACCATTGCTGCGACCGTCCACCGTACCGCACATTTCTCCTCCGTCAACCTCCCGTGAGACGTGTCTTGCAACCCATCCACCATCGCCTCTCTTTTTCCTTTTCAGAAGCGCTTCCTCCCAAATCGACGACCGAGCTCTCCCATCAAGGGTGGCAATCGAGCATCTCTCCTGTCTCGTTGCCTCTTCTTTTTTAGTCTTTTGCCTTCCGGACTTTGTTCCTGCGGGTCCTCCCAAGAGCCCGGTCCTGCAGCCCGTCAGCTCCGAACAGCCAACCGGAACCCTCACCCACCTGCAGACCCCTCGCGTCTGCATCTCAGACAGATCGAAGAAAAAACTTCCCAGACACTCGCCAAACCATCACCTCCTCCCAAGAAGAAAAAAAAAAAACAACAACAAACAAAAGGGAAACAGAAAAAGCGAAAGAGGTGTCCACAATTGTATCGCCTCGGTCCTAATTTTCAGCCACGCTCAAAGGGCACGCGCACGCTGTGACGACGTCGGTGCTGGATGTCGCGGGTGGCATCAACCTGAAATCCTCCATTTTCTGATCCCCCCCCCCACACTGGCAAGCCTCCGGGGTCTTCGATCTTTTTTATCTTCCGCGCCTTTCCCACTCTCACTTGCGCTCCTGTCTGGGGGACTGTCTCACAACATCACCCTTCGGCCGATTTGAAACCCGTCCCAGCCTTTTCGAGTGGCTAAGTTGTTCGCTCTTGTTAAGTTCACTCTTGGAATCTTTGTGACCTTGTCGCCATCCGACCACTGGTTCTCGTCCTCTTAAAGAGTTGGTCGAGGTCACTGCTTGGACGGCAATAGACGGCCTGTTCCCTTTTTTTTTCCTTCATTCTTTCATCATCTTCTTCTTCTTGCATCGATCAAGTCCTGCTCTCCTTGTCCACAGTCACCATCACCATGTCCTCCCCTTCAACATCACAAAACCAGCCCGACGGCATGGCTCTGATCTGGATCTTCGACCATTGCTCGCGCTACCCGGGCTCCTACGAGATTCCCCTCCGGGACATGTACGCCCTCAATTGCCATCCGACAAAGTCCTTCGTCGGCGGCAGCAGCTCGCCCGAAACCGCCTTCAGCCCCCGCAACTCGACATCCACGCAGGCCTCAAACTCGTCGCAAGAGAGCACGGTGGACGCCGCAGCCGACTTCCGTTCCCAACTGATCCACCAGATCTCCCGCATGCCGTCGCAGCCATGCTCTCTCCCGCCGGCCTTCTTGACCTCCTTCCTCCGCCGGTGCTTCCCCAAGGACCTGGAACAAGTGGACTTCCCGCAAGGCTTGACCGCGTTGGACTATGCCCGAGATCTCGAAAATCGGTGGAAAAAGGAAATGTCGCTTGCCCTGCAGCGCCTGGGCGTCGAGCGCCAACATTTGGAGAAGCCAACCGAGTCCGACCTGGCCAAGAAGTACCCCGGGGTCATGACCTGGGTCGAATCCATTCTCGCCAAAGCTCGCGACCTCGAGGCGCTGTACACGCAGATCTACATTGGCCTGCGCCGCTGGATGATCGTCAACGAGATCCTGCTGGAGCCCCACAACAAGCACAATCACATTGCGCTGTTGAATACTCTCTACCCACCGGTATCGGCGGGGGCTGTGACGCCCACTCCCCAGCTGACCTACCAGCTCTTGAAATCACATCGCGACACCTTCTTCCGGCTGATCAACAAGGTCAGCACCCGTGGTACGGAGTCGGTGCAGCACTTGGTCCAACAGAGTGAAGTGGAGCAGGACACCAATTCCTGGTCCACCGTCTACAGTGTCTTGGACAAGTTCCTGACCCAGACCACCGAGCTCATTGACGAGTGCGTCTTGATCAACGAACCAGCACACTTCGACAAAGTAGAGGGCACCCCCGAACCCGCAAGGTTGACTCCGGCTGCAGTTTCGGTGCCGCTGTCCCCGAGGGCATGGGCAGCACCGAGTCGGTCGCCGAGGATGCTGGGGGCGAAAAGCCCCTTCCGCAGTTCCCTGTCTTGTCGGATAAAGATGTTGCTTCTGGCAAGGGCTCCATGCTGGAGCGACTTTCGCGCGAACTTCGCTCGTTGGGCCCTGCGGCCAAGCTCCGTAGCTTGCGCAAGATGAAGTCGACCGCGGCGTTGACTCGACCCAGCAGTCAGCAGAGCTCCAACTACAGCTCCTCAATCTTCGAGGTTTCCGAGGAGAAACGCGACCGCTTGATTCGCGATGCGTACACTCGGAAGAACTCTCAGTCGAACATGTCGACCTCCACTGGCAACCAATGATGGCGGTCCAGCCAGTCTCTACCTCTCTCCTCCTCCCTCACGCTCTTTCTCTTTCTCTCTCTCTCTCTCTCTCTCTCTCTCTCTCTCTCTCTCTCTCTCTCTCTCTCTTCTCTTCTTCTCTTTCCACCCTTCTCCGCCTCAACCACTCGGCGGAAAAAAAAACATCATCCTTACGCCCTCTCACTATTCTTTATCAACCTCTCTTTTGACTTTTCTTTGTTCACCTTGTCCCTGCTGTCTGTTTTTCAGTGGCGATCAAAAGCAAAGAATGGCCTGGCAAATTGCATATATGGGTGGCATCTTGGGAACAATTGCTATTTGGTTGTCTTTTTCGTTTTGAAAGATGACATGGAGTTTCGGGCGCATCACGAATGTGGCATGCATTACGGGAATCACAACGGCGGCGCTGTCTCGACCGTACTTTTAACGATGTTACGTGGTAACGAGGATCATACCAGATGAATCTTGGCTCATCTTGAATTGAAAATTTTTTTCCTTGAATGGTGTCTTTCTGAAAATGAGAACACAATACTCATTAAGCATTCAGTATGTAAACTTGTAAAGTAATCACATATTGCCTGTAATCTGTATGATTATACCTGGTCTTTACTCGGTCGCTCTCGTTCCTGAGGCCTCCACATGGGAGTAGTCCATCCTGCGAAACCTTGCATCATTTGCCGCGCGGCCTACCGTACAAGCTATCAGTGCGATAAGCGCGATAAGGAGATTGCTCCAAGTGTCCAGTTCGGAGTAGCTTCTCCGCGATTCCTCAGACCATAGATCAAGAAGCTGGTCAAACGGCTGAACAATGCTTTCATATGTTTTTCTGAGTGTATTTTGAATGAGAAACACGCATCATTGCCAGGATACCATACCCGGGTACCGTCACTCCGGGCATTGCCCTCTTCCAGCTGGCCGCTGCCTATCATCTAGAGGATGAAACCCTCAACAAAATCGCGAGCCTCATGGCATTGGCTTGCTACACTCGGGACTGTTCTCCCGCTTTGCTTGGCCCAAGCGAACCCCGAAGTCAATGTAGCATTGCAGGCCTCTTTTGATTCCTCGCCTTATCTTGTTGAATTGCTGTAAGTGAAAGGTTCCATAACAATACGAGTCGAAACCTATTCGCGGCCGAAGAACGCTGTTCGGGTCATCGTGCAATTGATGCTAATAATTGGATTCTCGTTGGCTTAGTGAGACTGCTGCCGAGGAGAATAAAACCTCCTACTTTCCCCTACTCGATCGAATTGCAGATGGCGCCTTCGAGGAAGCTGTTTCCGAAAAGGAGTTATACGATCGCTTCTTGCAGGTCATTCATGAAGATGGACATCTCCGGACCCCCGAGAGTCTCTCGTCATTCAAGCTATCGATGGCCATTCGATCATCTGCTCCTCGGATTCAGGCCCACTACCAATACTATAATACGTCGGTCCAGCAGTCGTTGATGGTGGCGCAGGATGCAGCTTGTCCGGTTTGGGTTCATCTCAATGGCAAACAATATTGCTCGTCTCTGATGGAGCGCGCGCAGCAAGATGTTAACGGTGACTCGTAAGCCATTTTTGTTTTTCAGGGGTTTGAAAAGGTGGCTCTTACCAACTGAATTTGGGTGTTTAGGGACCCGAAGGACCTTCCTTTCGATCGTGTCTTTGGCGATGAGTCGCTTCCACCTGCCGTTCTTTACGCGGATATTTCCGCACCGACGTTCAAGGAGTTCCATGAGAAGATAAGCGAAATGGCGAGACAGGGTGATGTTTCGTACCGTGTTCGCTATCGCCCACCTCAGCACTGGGTCTCACGACCTCTGTTTGTATCTGGATATGGTGTGGAACTTGCTTTGAAACGTACAGACTACATTGTCATTGATGACAGAGACGCGGAGCGACTGAGTGGTTCCAACAGCGATAATGCCGAGAAAAGCTCGGGAGAGCTGAAAGAGGATGCCACAGATACCCTTCGTCCCCTGTCTGCCTCAGAGCTCTCACGCCTGGGCCTGAACACTGCAAGCTACGTAATGGATAGTGAGAATCCTCTTGAAACACTGCTCAGGTTATCCCAAGACTTCCCCAAATATTCCACAGCAATCGCAGCGCATAATGCCTCGGAAGAATTGCGTCAAGAAATCCATATCAACCGGGGCCGTATGATCCCAGCTGGGTACAATGTCATGTGGATCAATGGCATGCAGATCGATGAAAGGCAGATTGACGCCTTCTCTTTGCTTGAGGTTCTCCGTCGTGAGAGAAAATTGATTGAAAAATTCCGCAGTTTGGGACTATCTGCTCAGGAGACCGTCAAGCTTCTGTCGCACAAAGCTTTGGCAGAGTCACAGGCCGAGGACCAATCTCCTCGTTATGACTATCGAGACACCACAGAAGGTAAAGATGTCATTCTATGGTTGAACGACCTGGAACATGATTCGCGTTATGAGACTTGGTCTAGCGCTCTTGATGGGGTAAGAGCTCCTCTGTTCCTGTTACAGTACCGATGGAAGAAAGAAGTATTGATAACCTGAAATAGTACATCGCGAATACCTACCCGGGGCAACTACCTCGAGTCCGCCGTGACCTGCATAACGTCGTGTTCCCGGTTGACTTGTCCGTTCCGGAAGACGTACTTCTTGTCGTGAACCAAGTTCAGACCTTCATCAAGCGCCTGATTCCTATCCGGTTTGGCCTGGTACCGACCGCCTCATCTCCAAACGCCGTCTCTCAACTAAAGGTCGCGCACTATCTTTACGACACTTTTGGAGTGGAAGCATTCCTTCACTACTTGCAGGAGATGGCCGCAGCAGGCAAATCTGGAAAAGCTCTCAAAGGCCCCTTCAACACAGCTACGAAGGAACGGAAGCCAATCTTAGAGAAGCAGACACTGTCTTTCGACAGAGTTATGAAGAGTGAAATCTACGAGTCTGCGACGAAGCGTAGCTCTGACTATCAGCGGAGGCTGGGACTTGTTGGGTCTAACCCTCCCCTCCTCGTCAATGGTGTTCCTGTTTCTCGGGAAGGCAATTGGATGCAGGAGCTGAGTATGCTGATTAGTAGAGATTTGAAGATAGTTCAGCAAGGCATTGCTCAGGGTATTTTGACTGATGATGCTTCACTGCCTGAGTACATCCTCACTGGCGCTTTCGAGAGGCGGAACACTATGATCATGCCCGAAGATCCCAAAAGCGTCCGAATCGTGGACCTTGCAACGATATTTGGTACTGATCCAGCAACATCGGCAATATTCCCCCGGATTCCAACTGCTGAAGGAATTCAGGGTGGCGTACATGTCATTGTCGTTGGCGATTTCGAAACAGAGTCCGGGCTGAAGCTTCTTACCGACGCGCTGGCCTTCCGAAATGAGAATGAAGAGATCGAGTTGTTGCTGGTGCACAACTCTGCAAGCCAGAGCGAACAGCTTTCGTCGCCATTCAACGGACTTCAAGCGTCTCTCTCCAAGGCAAACGACATCGATCACTTGCTGGATCTTCTTGCCTTCACAGAGACTGCACAGTCGCCTGCGGAAGACGTACTAGAAGTCCTTGGAGCTCATCGACTGCTCGCCAAAGCGCTGGGCTTCGAACCGGGAACCGAAGGACTCATCGTGAACGGCAGAGCTGTCGGTCCCATACCAGTGGATGATCAGCTCAGCGTCAAAGAGCTCCATCAACTTGTCAGTTACGAGCGATCGAAACGCATCGAACCTGTCATCGAAGCCTCTCTGTCACTTGGTTTGGATAAAAAGCTCACCGAGGCAATCGATATCGCCAAGCTGACTTCTATGGCTGCACTCTCGGCCATCTCAAACGTACCGGCAGGTATCTTTGAGAGCGTGCCTGACTTCCGCATGAATGTCGCAGACAAGTGGATGACTGAGCATTCCATTATCACTGTCTCTAATTCCGATGACCCGGCGATCAATGTGGGTGTAGTTGTTGACCCGGCGTCCGAGACGGCTCAGAAATGGCTGCCGATTCTGCGAGTGCTGTCTGAATTGGCTGGTGTTCAGATGAAGATTTTCTTGAACCCCAAAGACGAACTCAAGGAGCTGCCTATCAAGCGATTCTACCGCTATGTCTTGGACTCTGAGCCGTCCTTCACAGGCGAGGGAGCGCTCGTGTGCCCTGGGGCCTCCTTCAAGGGCACACCGGTCGATGCGCTGTTGACTCTGGGTATGGATGTTCCCTCGTCCTGGCTAGTGGCACCTAAGGAGTCTATATATGACCCGGATAATATTAAACTCAGCACCCTGAAGCCTGGATCCAACGTCGATGCAATATACGCTTTGGAGCACATTCTGATTGAAGGTCACTCTCGCGACACGACCACCGAGTCTCCACCCCGAGGAGTACAGCTTGTTCTGGGCACAGAAAACGACCCTCACTTTGCAGACACCATCATCATGGCCAATCTTGGATACTTCCAGTTCAAGGCTCAACCGGGTGTGTGGCAGATCAATCTCAAGCCTGGTCGTAGTGACAAGATCTTCAAGATTGATAGCGTGGGTGGTCTTGGCCACAGACCCCAACCCGGGGACGAGGTCAACGAGGTGACCCTGCTCTCTTTCCAAGGACTTACTCTGTTCCCGCGTCTTTCTCGAAAGCCCGGCCATGAGGACGACGACGTGCTTGAAACTGGGCCCCAGCCGGGTTCTACTCGCGACTACCTTTCCAAGGGTCTGAACTTTGCATCTGGCGTGCTGTCGAGCGTTGGGGTCGGATCCAAGTCGGAGGAGAAACACGCTGATATCAACATCTTCTCCGTCGCCAGTGGTCATCTGTATGAGCGCATGCTCAATATCATGATGGTCTCTGTGATGCGACATACCAAACACACCGTCAAATTCTGGTTCATTGAACAATTCCTCTCGCCTTCTTTCCGTGCATTCCTCCCGCATCTCGCCGAAGAATACGGCTTCACCTACGAAATGGTCACCTACAAGTGGCCGCACTGGCTACGTCCGCAAAAGGAAAAACAACGCGAGATCTGGGGCTACAAGATGCTCTTCCTCGACGTTCTGTTCCCCTTGTCTCTGGACAAAGTCATCTTTGTCGACGCCGACCAAATCGTCCGCACAGACATGTACGAGCTCGTCACGCACGATCTCGAAGGCGCACCTTACGGCTTCACCCCCATGGGCGACTCCCGCACAGAAATGGAGGGCTTCCGCTTCTGGAAGCAAGGCTACTGGAGCACTTTCCTACGAGGCAAGCCTTACCATATCTCCGCTCTGTATGTAGTCGATCTCAATCGATTCCGGGCTCTCGCTGCCGGTGATCGTCTCCGCGGACAATACCAGATGCTTTCCGCCGATCCCAACAGCCTGAGTAACCTTGACCAAGACCTTCCCAACCACATGCAGCATCATATCCCCATTCACAGCCTGCCGCAGGAGTGGCTGTGGTGTGAAACGTGGTGCTCCGATGAGGACCTGGCCACTGCTCGGACGATTGACCTCTGCAACAATCCCATGACCAAGGAGCCCAAGTTGGCTCGGGCCAGGAGACAGGTGCCAGAGTGGACTGTGTACGATGATGAGATCGCGGCGTTGGCGAAGCGCGTCGCTACTGAGCAGGTCGGATTTGTTCAGACGGGGGAAGACGCTGCGCAAAAAGTGGTGATGGGAGATCAGGAGGAGCAGAGTGGGGAAAACACCCGCAAAGATGAACTGTAGATCCAGACTCGCCTTTTATCAGCACAGCATGTTCGAGAAGTGACTAGCACCTGCCCCTTACAGCCTGTATATGAGGTGGTTCGGTCCAAATTTTGTGACTTGGTGCTGTAACAAGCTTGTCTTTATCATCATCGAGCAACTCTTCAGTTTCTTTAAGGTGTGTTCCCATCGTGCAGTGGACGAGTCATGACCAATAGCCCATGCATAGTCTTCAGTTCTGTAATTATCTTTCTGGTCAACTTTCTGGCGTGAAAATGCAGGACCCAGTGACAACGGCTCTAAAGTCTACGACTCTATTTAACTACTAAGCGTGCTTCATTGACCAGACAATGTCGCCAACTGGTGAATTGATTGGGTCGGTAATTCTCTACTTCGCTTCTGCAAAGGTAAGCTTGAAAACTCACCACATGACTCGATGAGCGGGAAGCATCAAGCTCTGAACTGTTCCAGATGTCTGCTCGTTCGGGTGATCTGAACAAAGCTTGAAGGCGATGATTCTTATTTCTCAATAGACCGGAATGGGATGCTGCCAGACATGACGTGAACGAGGCTATTCATGTTCAATCACACGCCAACGTCCTCGTACTTGAATTTGCCGAGCCGACTATTTGGTCTTTTTCTCCTTCTTGGATTTCTTGCTTGATGACGCGACCAATTCTGCATCATTCATCTCCGACTTGCGGTGCTTTTTATCTTTGCGCTTTTTTTGATGTGGCGTGGACGGATCATCGTTCTGATTACCGTCACTATCGCTTTCATGAGGAGCTTGGATTTCCGCTGCAGTCTCTAGCTTCTTGCGCTCTTTCTCTTCCTTCTTCCTGCGTTTCTTTTCCTTTTTCTCCTCTCGTAATCTCTGCTTTTCAGCCGCCACGCTCTCGGAGACCTCGTGGGAGGGAGTCGCAGGTTCCATTGCTGCAAACTCTTCAGTGAAGACATTGGTCTGCTTCGGCGAGGTTTGTTCCGCGCCAGGTACGCCATTTGCCTCGCTAATGCTCAGACTGACTGACGGCTGTGGTCCGGGAGCTTGATCTAGTTGCGAAAGAAGAAGTCTTTCTTCTTCATTGGTAAGTTCAAGTTTGGGGAGATGTGCCGGGGTTGAACTAGGGATGCGAGAACCCTCTTCCTCTTCGCTATCACTGTTCACAAAATCCTCTGATTTTGGGGCTGTGCTCCTCTCGCGCGATGAGTTGCCGTTGTACCGCTGCCATCTCCTGGCTGACTCGCTGGGGTCGAAATCGGCGTCAGGATCGACGGTTTCGCGTAGGGTCTTGATGGTCTTGGCAATCTTTCGCCATTTATCGGCGCATTGTTGACGGGTCCGCGTATTTTCCATGCCGTTGCTGATGGACCCCCAAGAGATGGATTTCAAGTCCATTTCCCAGATATCCTTGCCTGCCTTTTCGGGATCTGCAGAAGACTCTATGAGAATCTTTCGGTATTCCTCCAATGAGTTGATAAATGCGACAAGTTCAGCCTCACTCCAAGCGCCGGTCAATTTGGTCGCCCGATATTGTAGGCGATTTTTCCAACGCTGCGTCACGTCATCGTCGCTGCGGCCGAGGATCTTCGCAATGAGCGCGTATTTGGGCCCGTGGTGAGCATGAAGCCGAACAAGCTCATCGTCCTGCTCGGGAGTCCATACGTGGGCCTTTTGCGTAGTATCTTGGAAATGACGGCGCATGAATCGATAGACAGAACGACGATCTCGGTCAGGAATCAGATCGTATATCTCATTCCAGAACTCATTCTTGGTTTGCACTTGCGTCGGCAGAGGCCACTCCTCTCCACCGCGCTCTGAGTGCTGAATCATGGCATCGAAGAGACGTCCTTGAACACCGTGAGTGTTGCAGAATCTGATTTTGAATTGTTCCAATGCTTTGACTTCGTCCTCGGCGAAAAATCCAACCTTTTGCTGGTTTCTACCTCCGATCCGGGGCCCTCTTGCCTTTTTCGGTTGCCCATCGTTGCTTTTCGCATCGGAGGTTGGATCCGGGGAAGCCTCGGAGGTAGAAGCCCTTCGAGATTTGCTCTTCTCCCCGCTCTCATCTTGTACTTGATCTTGAGTTTCTTCTATTTCAAGCTCCTCGGCTTCGACCTTCGAAGGCAATTCGATCTCGGATTCTCGACGCGACTTTTTGCTTTTGCTTGGTTGACCTGATTGTGAGTCTCGCTTTCGCTTCGAGGGCCGTGCTTGGCCATCTTCGGGCGCCGAGTCCTCAATTGCGCCATTCTTCGCGGGTGTGATTGTTGGTGTGAGGTTTCCATTCTTCGGAGACCTCTTCTTTTTAATTTTGAGGGCCGTAGTAGGACGGATGGGGAATTCCGAGGCTGTAATGTGTTAGAAAAGCTTCGACAAGACAAAATATAGTTGAAAAGGGGGTTGAATTGCTCGCTCTGCATACTTGGGCTCTCGGGGACCTCCATCTTGGGAACTTGTGGTCGCAAAACATTCAATGCATTCCTCCCGTGGGGAAATTTGAAGTCTCCAAAAATTATTGCGAGCGAACGGAAAGTATTCGGCAGAAAGATTTACCGCTACTATGACCGCTTTCCGAAGAGTCAGGCATGGCTAACTAACTAGTCGGTTTACTCGCTTCAACTGTCTTCTGGCTAAGCCTTTAGGAATGCTTACCATTCGAAGCCTCGTCGGGAAGCCGTAGAGTACGATATCAGGGGCCACGAGTCTGTGATGCCATGTCTCGAATGGGACTTGTTGCTGTGAAATCACGCTTGTTGCCGTTCAAGCCAGAGTCCAGGAGGGCGTGCTCTTCATGCGCTTCGGCTGAGGCTCTTCCCCACAATGTTTCCTGAACTAGAGGTAATATAATAGGTAACGTTTACTTCCATCTGACAGACAGAAAGTCCGACTGTTGAATATCCATAAGAATGCCTGGAAACTATACGAGAGCTCAGCATCTTGAATACGATGGTACCTATGTCAAGTCCGAAACAGACGAGGGAAATGCCCGGTTGCGCCCTCCATGAACAGCAGTCGACTGCTTTAAATTGTCTTATTTCAGAAATGATGACACGAATCTTCTGCCTGGTGCAAGAACAGCTTCCAAGCACCGTTTCGTCACATTGTAAATCTATATTTGATTCTACTATTCCAAGCAGAAAGGAAATCACTCAGTTGCTTAGGCTGTCTTCCGAAAAGCCCTATATAAGCGCACCAGATCACATTGCGCTCTACACGGATGCTCAATCAGACCCAGCAACTAACAGGATGAAAATATCCAATCGTCGCGAGCTCCTCTTTACCACCTTCATTTGCACATCGACTTCGTGGACTGTAATTGCCACACCCACGGACCTCGGAGTGGCTAAGCAAGTCCCTACCGAATCACGATTGATTCGGCGATGTCGATGATCCCGTCGCTTGTATGCATGTACATGATCGACTGAACAGCGCGAAAGTGGAAGGGCTTTAGCAGGAGTTCCCGGGTCTTGCAGAGCTCCACCGCGTGTAACCCCATTTACGCATTTACTAAATCGATGGAGAGTGAGTTTGCGTGGAAAAGGCAAAGTCGTGACGCATGGAAACAAGCTACATATGCAAGTGGTGTATATACATTGAATGAGAAGCCCACAGGATGAAAAATGCCGGTACTCCTTGGAAAAATGCAGACGTTTGGTACTGATCATGATACAAGCTTCATCTCGCGCAAGATTCTCGTGACAAACTTCTTCTGATCAGTAGGACCAAGACCTTTCTCATCCACGGTTTGCAGGCAGCGCCCAATCGCAATCGTGGCTTTAACTGCGCTTTCTCCAGCATTCGAGCAGTCGATCCAGACTTTGCCATTGCGGCCGACAGCAATCTCGAATCCTCCAAGGCTTTCAAGCTTCTTTCCCAGCTCAGAGAGAACCACGAGTCCGTCAATTGACTCACTCTGTTCAGACGATGAGGAGCTTGCTCGGAGTAGGCGAGCAGCCATACCCGTGGACACATCGAAGACCATGCCGCCATTCAGTGGACCCAGCCCACCAGGCTCCGATTTGCCAGTGGCTGGGTTGACACAAGTGAGCTCGACTTCTGCACCCGCACCGAGTCCAATAGACAAAACACGGGCATAAACAAGGTCGCCTTGCCTGAGCATGGGCCTTGTTTTCTTCGAAGCACCCTCAAATGAGAGCTGACCCAAAAGAGCGTGTGCCGTATGAGGGGTCACCATGCAGTGAAAGTAGTCAACGCTGGAGTGGTGGATTTGCGCGATGATGAGGTCGTTGACAGTGGGGATGTATCGGCGATTGGGGAACGAAAGAAGCGAGACAGTGTTGCGCTTGACATCAGTGGTCAGAATGCCAGCTTGGGTCGCTGCCAAGACATGTTGGCTTTGAGTGTTTTGAGAAGTTGACGATGGTTGTGACAGAAGTCGAAGGCCTGGGCCTAATTTGAGAGGATTCGACTTGTTGCTTGGCAAATGACGGGTGGGCACTTCATCACCCGGGAGCAGTACAAGAGGCGACGCCATGTTGCGAGATGATATATGCGATATTTGTGACTTTGATGAATTCGGCGAAGGGAATGGGCACCGAAGTTTAGAAGAAGAGGGCGCAATGGACGATGCGATCGAGGTATCCAGGCTGCTTTCGCGGCGCAAAAAAAAGCAGAGCACGGTTATCTGGCTATCTTCACGTGATCTGTACCTGAAGAGCAGAGTGAAGCTCTGCTTGTGAGACTAATATCAAACTTCGAAAATGAGCGTTGAGAAGTTGCTTCCACGAATACTTGATTTGCTATTTAATTCCAAACCGCTACATACTTCATTGGCCACGGAGAGATGATCGACCAACATCGCTGTCAAATGGTCCCAGTACTTACAAGAAAAGGCGGCGAGTGAATGCTTCGACTGTAGACCGCGCCACCGTCTTATCGATAAGCACTAGCCACAGTCCCCCGAAAATCTTCAGATTTTTCGATTCAGATCTCCCCCTCCATCGATAACATAACCATCCGTCGGTCACTCTCTGACTTTTTTTTCTGCACACTCTGTGAAGCAGACCTTTTCCTTGTCAATTCAAATATAAGGAACATATAACACCTGTAAAAATGGGTGACGCAGTCAACAGCACCTCCGCTGAGACGGAGCGCTACGCTATCGGTATCTCCTTTGGCAATTCGTGCAGTTCAATTGCCCGCATCTCACCTGTACGTGTCGCTTGATGGCAATGATGCATACTTGGATTCGATATGACTACTAACACATTCCAAAGGAGGGCAAGGCCGAGGTCATTGCTAACGAGGAGGGAGGTAAGTGTTGGAAAGTCACCACAAACCAGCTTCTTTGGCTAACTTGATCCGCAAAGATCGTCAAATTCCCAGCATCCTCTCTTACATCGATGGCGAGGAGTACCACGGTACTCAGGCCAAGGCTCAGCTTGTCCGTAACTCCAAGAACACCGTCGCATACTTCCGCGATTATTTGGGCAAGGACTTCAAGTCAATCGATCCTACCCCATGCCACCAATCCGCCCACCCTCAGCAGCAGGACTCTACCGTTGCTTTCACAATCCGTGACACCGCCAGCGAGGACCCAAACACAGTCACCGTCTCCGAGATCACTACCCGTCACTTGCGTCGCTTGAAGCAGTCTGCCACCGACTTCCTCGGAAAGGAGGTCAACGCTGCTGTTATCACCGTCCCCACCAACTTCAGCGATGCTCAGCGTGAGGCTCTTACCGCTGCTGCTAAGGCTGCCGGTCTTGAGGTTCTCCAGCTCATTGCCGAGCCCGTCGCTGCGGCTATGGCTTACGACGCCCGCCCCGAGGCCACTGTCACCGACAAGCTTGTCGTTGTGGCTGACTTGGGTGGTACCCGCTCTGACGTTGCTGTGCTTGCCTGCCGCGGTGGCATGTACACCATCCTGGCCACCGCTCATGACTACGAGCTTGGCGGTGCCTCCTTGGACCAGGTCGTCATTGACCACTTTGCCAAGGAGTTCATGAAGAAGCACAAGGCCGACCCCCGTGAGGATGCTCGCGGTTTGGCCAAGCTGAAGCTTGAGGGTGAGGGTACCCGCAAGGCTTTGAGTCTCAGCGCCAATGCTCAGTTGAGCATTGAATCCCTCGTGAACGGTATCGACTACGGTTCCACCATCAACCGCACTCGTTTCGAGCTGCTCTCTGGCAAGGTCTTTGCTCAGTTCACTGGTTTGATTGAGCAGGTTGTCAAGAAGGCCGAGCTCGACGTCCTTGACATTGATGAGGTATGACTGTACCCCAATTTCTAACAGTTCCCTTTCATCTTGGAGTCCATCTAACAATTTTTCCAGGTCATCTTCTCTGGTGGTGCATCCCACACCCCCAAGATCGCCCAACTGGCCGCCAACATCTTCCCCGAGAAGACTACCATCTTGGCCCCCTCCACCTCCACCTCCGCCATCAACCCCTCCGAGCTGGCCGCTCGTGGTGCTGCCTTCCAGGCTTCTCTTATCCAGGAGTTTGACACTGAGGATATTGAGCAGTCCATCCACCCCATGGTCACCGTCACTCCTCACCTGAGCAAGGCCATTGGTGTTGAGTTCACCTCCAACAACGAGACCAGCTTCCAGCCTCTCCTCAACGCGGAGACTGCTCTTCCCGCTCGTCGTATTGCCCAGTACAGCGCCCCCACGGAGGGTGGTGATGTTCTGGTCCGTGTCTGCGAGGGTAGCCGCGAGATCAAGGTCACCAAGCCTGAGCCCAAGGCCAAGGAGGAGAAGGCCGCGGCTGATGAGGATGACTCTGACTTTGACTCTGACGATGATGAGGAGGATGAGACACGCGAGATTGTGTGGAAGACCGAGAAGCCCGTCGCCGAGCTTGCCGTCAAGGGTGTCAAGGCTGGCGCCAAGGTCGAGGTCATGGTTCACGTCAACCCCGACCTGGGTCTCCAGATCTCTGTGCGTGAGGTCGGTGGTTCTACCGCTGTGCGTGGTGCCATCAACGGCTCCGCCTAGGTCATTTTTCTATAAAAGCGATCCCCTTATGGCGTGATGATGCATGCATGATTGATATAGAGGCCGTGCTTTTTTTTTCCTGTTCATTTTTCTATCCCCACCCCCTCCGCCATCACGTTGGCCTCAGATGAGACTGTACTGCGCCATGCCTGGTTGATCTTTCTCCCTTGATGTTTATAGACCATCAGCTAGATATGGAATGAAGTATGTTCAAAAGTCCACCCGTGCAAGATTGTCTCTCAAAAGAGGATGTTCTTCGTAAAGCAGGGGTCAGTCCTCTAGTTTAGGGGTTCTCATCAAGTATCGCCGGGGAAAGGAAATTGCATATGTTCTCAAAAAGTGCATTCCCTGTTTTCTAGACCTTTTTCATTATTCGTTTAACACCAGCAGTGCATCCAATCGCCAAACGAAATTGCAACGAAAGTGGACTCGCAGCACGTCCAGCACGACACCCGCTGTACTCCATCCGTGTTCGGCTTCCCTCCCACAGGCATTAGGACGCCAGGATATACTCATTTGACTTGGACGAATCCGAACGGACCCGGTCAGACTGATCATGTTCAGTGAGAGATGCGCCAGGTACGCTCCTCGGATTTTGGGCAGTTTCTTTTGGTGGTGGTTTGATAAGATATCATGATTTATAAATCTCAATCCATTCAAAGAATAAAAATTTATATTACACATATTAATTAAGAGCTTGGGGAACCATAAGACCCCCGTCCATCAACTGGTCGCACATGTCGTGTGGAAACATGGCGCAAGGGAGGAAGGCCAGGCAAGGGGAAGAGAAGAGGTCCAAGTACGACGCATAACGCAGGGTGTAACGCAAATCATGTCCTGGGTTAGCAAAACCTGGAACACCGGGAAACTTGGTAAAGATCGTGATAATAAATCGTAACAGCATTCAATGAGGGTCGTTGGAGAGATTGAAAGGCCTTTATTACCGGGTCCTTCGTGCTTAGACCAAGGTGCAAATAGCAAAAGGCGAGCGCACGGTTTCCGGTAGGAAAAGCAGGTAAGAAGAAGCGAGTGGTATGAAGTGCCAAGAGGATGAGTACCACCTTGGCGTTGCTCATAGCTCACCTTTCTCACGGAACGAACTCGTAGTGGCATCAGGTTTTAGCCGCAACACATTGACCCATGGGAGTGACGCGGCTTGCTTAGGCAAAGGAGGACTCTTCCTTCTTCTGGCTTCGAAGGCTGTTGGAGCGAGCGGAGAAGAAGCCTCGACGACGCTCAGTGCGCCCACTGTAGCCACTGCGGTCCTTGCGGCCGACAGCACCACCAGCGCAGTACATCATGCAGGCGATGAAGAGGCAGGCTGTAGCAGTCCACATGAAAGCAAAAGCCTTGACACCGACCTTGGCGTTCTGACCGTTGGATTGGAAAGCATTACGACCTTGAACATAGGCAGCGCTATCATGACTGGTTAGCTTGTGACTTTTCCAATCTGGCGGGGGAGGTAATCTAGGGTCAAAACGTACGTCATCAAGCTCGTGGTGATGGTCTGGAAGGTAAGACCGAGCCACGCGAGGAGTCCAGACAGGTAGCTGCCAATGCGAGTGCACATGGCCAGCAGGCCGGTGAAGAGCGAGATAACGGTGAAGAACAGGCCAATGAGGATGAAGGGAAACATGAAGCGAGTCATGAGATAGTAGTGCTTAGTTCTGCGAGTTTCATCTGTTAGAAATTGCGAACTCAAGAGTGAGGATCGTGACGACCTTGAGCCACGGACCTGGCGCAAGGATCACTTGATCTTCTGAGGGATCACATACCCGATGAATTGGCCGGGCACATTTTGCTCGGTGCCAAAGTTATTCGAATTGGGAGGATCCAAGGGGAAGTCCGGGTGCACGGCACCGCACAAGTTGTGGCCATTGTTGTCGACACCACAGACGTTCCAGAAGGTCCAACGAGAAGTGGTCGGGGCTCCGGGAATATTGCCCGTATCCGCCTGGAGGAAGTAGATTTGGTTCAAGGGCGTGTGGTTGTTAACCCCTCCTAGGAAGGTGAGGAAAATGAGCACAATCGAGCCGGCTGTGAAGAACAGACCGAGCAAGCCCAGTGTAGCCCCTATAAGTCATGAACGAATGAGCCAATCAATTCCCCCACCTGAGAGAGCGAACGAAGAATAAAGTCGTTCCACAGGTCCGCAGGCAATCAGTTCCGGTAGATGGGTTGACACTTACTGCTGAGAAGCATGATGTATGTCGAGGTGTCGAGTTCTTGCGATTAGAGGCTGTCGAGCAAAAAGTAGGCTGTGTTCGTCAGAGAAGGGGGCTGGACGTGCGGCACAGAGCTTATATGTGTTTTCCAAGCGAGGGCTTGAAGTATTGGCTGGTGATTGATGCCCAAAGATTCAAAAGGCTTTCCAGAGATCGGTACCGAGGGTGGTAGACCACACAGTTGCGACTACGTCGGAGAGATGGTATGGGCTAGAAGGAGAATTGTGGAAAAGTGGAAGTTGGGGATTGAGGGGTGAAAGGTCTGCCTATATTTCTGCTATCCTCATGCAGTAATGGTCTTGTGGTCCGGAGCTATCCGACATTGGATTTATGATCTCAGTTCTCCCTCGTCCCATCATTACGCTGTGATGCTGGATGGCGCGGTGTTCGCATCATCGGCAGCTTCAAAAGATCGCGCGGATCATGGCGTCATGGTTGCACATGGCCCCACCTATGGGGCTCCCATCCCCAATTGGATGTGAGCTCTGACCCACCTTGACGGCGCCGATCCAATCAACTGCCTTTGGGAGTCCCAGGGCTCCACTCGACTGGCTAATCCGACAGGAGACAGTGCGCAACACTCTAAAAGACCTCGAGCCCGTTGCTAGCCCCGAAGAGGCTTAGCTCCATGCGATCCATGACGAAGTGACGAACCTCCGCCGACGACGTTGCACTTGCTCGTTGGACAGAATCTTACTCATCCGAGGACACCAGGCTGAACTTTACAGTTACCGAGTGGACTGGCGGTCGAGCAGGACTAGCCCCGAGCGACAGTGACGTGGATTGAAACGAGGCCGGAGTCAAGAAATTCTCCCCTTCGACCGTGGTGTGAGCCAGACCTTGGAAATCTGCCTGCCTACTACGGTATGAGATCTTCGTGAGACGTGGATCGGTCGTGACCCAACAAGCCCGCCCAAAGGTAGTGAGCAAGCCCTACCAAAAACCCTATTACGACTCGACCGTCCATCTGCTCGTCCAGGCCCCTTGCACACAGGCCTACACAAGTACACCTTACACAGCACTCCTGATTCTGGAGTACCCGCTCGCTGACCGAGACCACACCGGCACCTCTGGTCGCTGACCCCTGCCTCAGGCTCGAGTCTCAACGTGGACACTGGAAGTGGACGCAGTGGACGGTAGAGACGGGCTGTCGGGTTTACCCACCTTGAAGTAAATGAGCAGCCCGACGTACTTGTCCCCGTCAAGACTGTGATTCTCATTGCAGACAGACACCGTCTGTCGGGCACGAGGGCCAAATCATTCAGTTACCTACCATTATCTCCCTTCCACTGGGTGCGGTATAGACTACGAGCCTGCACCGTCCAGCTCCCGTACCGACGATGGCGACTTGGGCATATCCCCCGCTCCCGACCGAGCAATTAAATCAGCAGGCCGATAACGCTCTGGTACGTCAACGAAAGTGGTGCTCCCTTTTCCCCCACGACTCCCACGGCGATGATGCAGGTGGTGGAACCAGTTCCCCAGTGCGATGTGGACTGCACCTTCCCTGACTCCTCCTCAGCCCTGACCGCAGGGGTAGAGGGTGAAAGCACAGGTCATAGTGGGTCTGGAGCGATTCTTCGTCCGATTGATGGCTCATCCACCCCGAATTTTTAGGCTCAGGAGCTCGAGTGGCTGTTGCAGTCTCTCCAAGAATCGCTAGTCTCCTTAAAGGAAGGCCTGCATGAGTGCGCCACATTACTGGCCCCGCAAGAACCGGGATCGACTTTGGTCTTATCGTCACTACGATCGGAGAGTATCAAAGGCTTCGTCACTCGGATCGGCACCAAAGTCGTCAAAGGGGTAAGTGGTGGTCGCGGGCCTGCAAAGAGGCGCATTCCACACCGTGGCTTGAACTCAACTTTAACCTTCTGGATCGTGCAGGATATTCAACTCCGCCTAGCCTCGTTACCAGCTCCGCGTGGCGCTTCGGGCACCCGCCTCACATTGTCTCAAAGTCCCGGTGCCCCGGAACTGGTGCTGCCGCAGTTGGTCTCGGTTCGCAATCTGGTGAACCAAAGCCTCGACATCGTGGATGTGAGCACCTACACCGGGGACCCGCTCAATGCGGCCTTTATCTTCAGTCAGCTGCATCTTCTAAAGGAAACCATCGGCGAGGCGCGCCAGATGCTGAAAGGGGAGGGTCCCGAGCGAGGCAACTGGTGGGAGGCGAGTGCATCAGATACTGTAAGCTTCCATGGAACACGCGACCCTTGGCCCTCCTCCATACCCAAAGCCGACACATGTGCGCCCCAAAGAAACAAACTGACGAAGAGCTCGGGGGCAACCCCCCGCGTGTAGATGTTTGACCCTCCACCTCCACCGTCCTTATCCTTCCACTTGTCCATTGCCGAGTCAGCCTTAGTGCTGGTAGTACGCACGGTGGAAAGCAGTGCGTCTGCACAGACCGGCGGGCCATTTGCTTCGGACATCTCCTTGACGGGGTTCTCACTTCGAGATCGCATCTTCGGAACTCGGCCTCGCGCCCACGACGAGGTCGGCAACGTGTTCCAATGGCGCGGTGAGGAAGTGCATGTCAAAGAGAAGATTCGAGTGGAAAGTCAAGATCCCAGCTTGATGGCCGTAATGGCCAAGCTCACTGCACTGGAACACGAGGTCATGCGCTGGGTGTTGGCGCTGCGGGTTCTCATGGGACAGGAGGAGACGGAGAGCGACTGAACCGATGCATCTAGCAGGGCTATGCCGGTCGTTCTTGATCCTGTCTCTGAAACATATAATCACCCGGATACATACGAAGAATACCACGCTTCATACTTCCAACTGCCGTTTCTTTTTACAGGCGACTCCTACAAGACGAGCAAATATCAAGTCCTGCGGCTCGAACACATTCTGTCTCCTTCCTCGTCGCAGAGACGATCGATTGGTATGACCAAAACGCCGCAACTGTGTCGTTTTAGAGATCACCAATATCACAAGATCTTCAAAGCTTGACCAAACCTCCATGGCATTCTCCATCACTTACAGTGAACTCCTTTGAGATCTATGTGTACTATAAATTTGCCCAGTGAGGCGCGTGAAAACTTCGAACGAGTCTATGGAGTTCCCCCATTGTAGTAGAATCCCGCGTAGGTACTAGCTTAGACGAACCTTGCTTCTGGGACTATTCAACAAGATTCTGGATATGAGGTACTGGTATTCTCTTAATTGTACTTCGAAAGTTCAATCTATCTACGCCAAGCCAGATGCCCCGGTGTTGAAAATCAAACCAATCAGAGCTCTTAGACTTCGGACCACATGCGGGCTTGGCAACAATTTTGCGGAGCTTCCTGGGGGATTGGCCGGCACTTGTTTCCGTCTCTTTTCGCCTTTTTCTTTCAGACTCCAGACAAAGTTGTTTGAAAAGGCCTGTCATCAGCTTGAGTTCCAGATGCTCGCCAGGCCTTCAAACACCATGAGGGCCGCCGGTTCAAACGCTCGAGGGCTTCTGTGGCTGTCAGTTTCCCGCGCTGCTGGCTTGCGACGGGTCTCGGGCGCCGCAAGCTCAATCACGCAACAAGCTTCGGTCGCGAGGTCCCAACGACCATCACCAAGGCTCTCAAATCTCACAGCGAATACCACTCCCTCTCAGCTGCCGTCATCATGGGTCTCAACACAGAGGTTTTCCTCCACTGCTGCGGCGCCCTCAGATTCACCGTCGGAGACTGACCCGGTCGAGGCGATCAATATTCTGATCGAGCGAATCAACGAGAACGACGATGCTATGGCACAACTAATGCAGGACTTGGAATTAATAGAGGGTGACGAGGTTGTTGAGGGATCTGAAGATCCATTCGATGGCCAGGAATATACTCCAGAGGTATGGGTGGAGATGGTTCGACAGCAGTTCGGCGATGCGATCCCAGATGGCGTTCTGAACGAGGAAGAAATGCAACTATTCATCCGGCTTTACGGACAACCTGTTATCCAGGAACTGAACGAAGAGACAGCGGAGGTTGAAAGTGACAGAGAGCCGGATCGCTTGTTCCGAGAGGACAGGCAAGGTCGGTGGGAGGAGATCGAGTATCAGCAGAACGCCGAAGCCGAGGACGAGCCACCCGTGGTCTACGACATGGACGCAGCCCCCGAAGAGGTAGAGACGATTGCGATGCGGCGCACACGAGAAGTAGCAGAGCAACTGGGAGGAGAAATCATGATGGAGCAATTCGAGAACGAAGCCGTCCCGGACTCGGCGCCACGCGCCCACCCATTGACCCGCGAGGGCAAATTCACAACGGATCCCAGTACAATCCATCTTCCAAAAAATACAGTTACCGGGCCGATCTCCGTCATTCTATCGGGCTTTTCCAATAAGCACATCTCGGACACTGCACGTCGCTTGTTCGGTGGGCCTGGTCTGCCCCATTCTACAACGACGCCGCCTCCACGAGCACAATTACCACAGCTGCCAATTCCACTTCACGCATCGCAACACCACATGGGCGAGATGGAAGCCAATGCTTATATTGCGGCTCTCTACCCGGGCATTTACGCATCGACCTTGAGCGTTTTGGCCGAGGTCCGCAAACGCATGGGAACCGACTGGATCAGGCGGTTGATCTCACAAGAGGGCGGCCCAAATGTCTTGGACGCAAGCGGCGGTGGTGCTGGTATCCTGGCCTGGCGAGACATTGCCCGTGCCGAGTACGAAGTCATGGTTCCCGACCACCCGGAAGGCGGCCCCGTTCCGTACGGGCGATCTACCGTGCTTACGGGGTCGGACGCCCTCCGTTTACGTGCGAGTGCCATGCTTGACAATACCAGCTTCCTTCCACGGTTGCCAGACTACATCCACGCTCGTGAAAAGCCGACTCTTGAGGATCAGCGCGCGGTGCAGAAGCGCAAGCAGTTTGACATTGTCATTGCACCTCACACTCTTCTTGGATTCGACGAAGAGTATCAGCGGAAGGAGCATGTGCAGAACCTCTGGCAACTGTTGAACCCCAACGGTGGTATCCTCATCCTGCTCGAAAAGGGCCGACAGAAGGGCTTCGAGGCCATTGCTGGTGCCCGAGATATGCTTCTCAGACGCCATATCGCCAGCCCGGGATCGACAGAATACGGAAATTCCCTGGACTCGTCCATCGAATCGCCCATTATCATCAAGGAGCCGGGAATGATCATCGCTCCGTGCACAAACCACGCCACTTGTCCCATGCATAACCCCGCGGGTCCGACAAAGGGTCGTCGGGACTACTGTCATTTCGAGCAGCGGTACATTCGTCCGGCCTTCTTGCAACGTATCATGGGTGCCAAGGACCGCAACCACGAGGACGTCAAGTTCAGTTACCTGGCTGTGCAGCGAGGCGTGGACATGCGTCAAGAACAGGGTATCCGTCAAGACGCCGAATCCACAGATAGCGCCTTCGAAGGCTTCGAACACCTGGACGAATCCGGTCATGCGGATTACCACCCTCTTTCATTGCCTCGCGCTGTGTACCCGCCCATCAAACGCCGAGGGCACGTCATTCTCGACCTTTGCACTCCTGCTGGCAAGATTGAGCGATGGACAGTTCCGCGCTCATATAGTCGCCAAGCGTACCGCGATGCTCGAAAGTCCAATTGGGGCGATCTCTGGGCACTAGGCGCCAAGACGCGCATCCCGCGCAAGCTCAATCTCGGCGATAAGCATGGCGAAGGCAAGAAGGAACGTCTTGCTCGACGGGCTGCTGCCAAGGCTGGTTCCCGTGAAATGGCCGAGGAGGGCGACTTCGATCAGCTTGAAGCCGAGCAGGATGATGTAGACGACGAGACTGTGGAGGCACCTGTTCGCAAACGGGGTCAAAAAATCCCAAGCTGGAAGAAGCACGCTGATAAGAAGAAACTTCGACAGAGTGTAAAGCTTCGGGACGCTGCGGAGGATGCGCTGTAATTGCGTCGTGTTCACTGTTCATGTCGTCAGCCTCTCTTTGGAGCGTGGAAAACGAACATCATCTTGGCTACATTGTCTCCCAACATACACATCGGTTGCATATTCGAAATCGTTTCGACGGGGAGGTGTTTATTGTACTACACATCATGTATATTAGGATACCTTTGTCAAATCGCGCCTCTTTTTCTCATGGATCTTTTCGCTCGAATTTTGTTGAAAATTTAAATTATCATTATTCATTCACGTAAGGGTTTGGGGTATCGATATTTGGCATCACAGAAAAGGCAGTTTTGCTGGGATGGATTCAGTGTAAACAACTCGAATGCAGAGGACAGTCGAGAAGAGGGAGAGAGGCCCAAACGCATCGGCTGGAGGGGATGCAATCTCTCTAGAGAGGCGTTTAGATATTCCATGGGATCCTGAAATATGCCGTTGATAGTGGACTTCCCGTGCAGTTTCGGGAATTATATGTGTAGGGAAGTGTCTAGTTTCCGCTTGTACTTTCTTCATTGAGCAGCCATGCTCTTCCTCAACTGACGCTCCCTCTGCCTGCTTTGCAGCTCGAGTCGATCAACAGCATACTTCAAGCGCTCCTTTTTCTGTATCAGGCGGCGCAGCTCCAGAGCTCGTGTGGCAGTATTGCTGGATGTCGCATCACTAGCTGATCTCGGCAGACGATTCCTCGCCGCAGAACTTCCTTGGGCGTGAGAGCGCGTAGTTGAAGGTCTGCTATCCGAGTTAGATGAGAGCCGGCCCTCTTGCAGATCGCATTGCGCCTTAAGACTTTGTTCGCGACGGGCTAGTTTTTCCACGTGGTTGGACGAGATCGAGAGCAAGTGTGCAATGCTTGGTTTGATCTCGTCGAGGAGTGATTGTTGTGCTTCGCGTAGCGTTGGCTCGGGAAGGAGCTCAAAGTGCTGTTTCGTAGACAATTAGCAGGCGTTCGATCCAGCTTATCGCCAGCCTCGAAATGTGACATACTCGTGTTGTCTGGAGGACTTTGCATAGGCGGGGAAAGTCGTTCACGCCCGAGTCCAAGGTGTTGATAGAATTGTCTAGAAGCTGGAGCGATGACTGCAGAGAAGTCACGGAGGAGGCCAATGATGAGGTCATATTGGTGCCCTCTTTCCTGTGCGACCGCAATACAAATGGACTGCCACCGTCTTTGTCTGGGTAAAAGGCGTCCCTGACTGTTGACGACGATAATCACCGCGAGTCGGGAACCTATGGAGACTTATCGGGTTAAAGCGGCGACGCCGCTTCCCAGAGCGGTATGGCGTGTCGGGCCGGTCAAACTCCAAACCTCACTTCTCCTCTCCCTCGATCATCACCCGATTAATTGACCTGCCAAACCCCGCGAAACTCGAATCTCTCTTGCCTTCGCATCTATTAATCGCCATGTCTCTCCTCGGAAAGAAGTTCCCCGGTCTCTTGGGTACGTCGGATGTTGCGTGATTGGGCCGTCGCCCGTCTTCCACAGGGCGCGCTGTACCGAACCATGTTGGACTAACATGTTGAATCATTAGCTGGCCCCATGACTCCTTTCTTCGCTGCCGGTATGCCTATTCGACCCTCCCTTTCGCTCGGGATTGAAGTGACTTGATCCGACGATCAATGTCACATGATCCTTCGCGGTTCGATCTTCCGCGCTTACAAGACTGGCGCTCTAACATCTGCCTCTTTTCTTTCTCCCAGGTGTCATTGTTCTCTACGGTGTCAACTCTCTGCAGAACGCTCTCTCCAACAGTGAGTTTTCTTCCTGACCTCTTCGGCGTCAATATATCGATACTACGGGGCGCCATAATTTCCCTTATATGCGTGATTTTGCCCGCACTCGGACCATTCAGCATGTCGCAACCATAACCCTTGAGAGCGTTTTCTGACCCTTCGATATCCCAGCTGCCGAGTTCAAGAACGACCCCCGCAACCCCAACGCCAAGGGTGGTAACTCCCACTAAGCTTGCGCAACGATGACGGGCAATTTGAGATGTGTGGAGCCTCAGGTGGCTCAATACTGAGACCATCCAGGCCGTTATGTTGGGACTTTGAACAGGATTAGCCGCGGCTCAATCTTGAGACAGCGAGTCATGAGTCGTTCTTCCTTTTGCGGACATTTAGCCTTCCGTGCAAGCATATAGAAGAGGTCGTTTTTGACGACTCAAAGTCAATCCACACAAGTTGTATAATTATTGATGCTTGAGTATCACTATTCGCGCATAATTATTTCGCTGCTTTACCGGCGGATAATCCTGCAGGGTAGACTTTATCGTCAGAAACCAAGTTTCTATTGATGAAGGTATATTTATTGAGACTACGGAACGTATGCACCCATCGAAGTCCTGGTACGCTAAGCTTGCGTAATGTTGCAGTTGAGACCTTCATCAAGTGTTTGCATCTTACCATGGCTGTTGGGACTTTTGTCGTCCACTTCACCCGAAACAGGGCCTCGTGCTCTGGAATAAACACGCGGCCTCACAGGCACATCTATAATGCACGAGAACCATGGTTTGGAGCGCAATATCTAGACTGCTTCAAGGTCTGAGTCCGCTTGCTCCGGAGCGATTACTTGATACCTGAAAACAATTGGGACCCCGAGCTGGACTTCCAGCCAGTGACGATACTACATACGAATGGAGACTCTAGATATGCGGCCCACGGCCTCCTTGGTTGGAAACGAGGGCTACGAAATAAAGAATTCTTTCGAAGCTGACTCGAGTGTGAATTACAGTGATGAGTCAGCTAAACCTGTGAAGAAAGCAACCATTTCCAGTAAATGCCCGAGGAGTCTCAGTCGAAAGCAAGGCTGTTTGGGCCCGTGTCAAGCTTCGTCTTCAACGTCAACAGCAGCAACGCAGATTCTCCACGTCTACAGTCAGCGCTGTCCACTGGTCCGTCCCGTAGAATACAGGGCTACTTTGTTGTTTCCGTATGTTTCCACGGCTGAAGCGGCCAGTTCTGATCAGTTTAAAGTTCCCATTCCGGCAGCTGTTGTTCCAAGCTGGCCTGTGAGTCTTAATATGTAAAGGCTCCCCGTCCACATGGTAGGGGCGCAAACTTGGCGTTCTATGGAGTCAAGAAAGTCAATCATGATAGGTGCGACATTGTACTTGGAGAAAGAGGATGCACGTAGGCGATACCTGTGGTCTTGCCGACGTATTTTGTGACCTGAACCGTCAACTACTTGATCTGGTTCACCAGCCACAAGAGCCGATCGCCTTCCAGTGAGCTTGGTTGATCATCCCAACGCTTTGGCCAGCCATTGCGTCTCCTCAGAGCCCTGGCAAGCATGGTTTATACTATCAACGTTCCATGAAGAAAGAGAAAATGTTCGACGACATGGGCCTGTAATCAGTCTGACTCAAAATGTTGAACCGACTTGTGGCCGAACGGCGCTGGTAACTGAGGACTTTCCGGACTGTCGTAGTCGCTGAACTTGCGAGCCATGAGGGGAAGCGGGAGATCGGGTTTCCGGAATTTGTCCATTCTTATCGCGCCAGGAACCTCTTGAGGTGAGGTCTTTTGCTCTGATCGTAGGAGTGAAAGTGGTTGAAGTCAACCTCGGAGCCGAAAGATTGCATCCAGTGGATAAGGGGCTGGACGAGCTGAACGAGATAGATGGATGGATGGGATGGATGGGATGGATGGGATGGATGGGATGGATGGGATGGATGGGATGGATGGGATGGATGGGATGGATGGGATGGATGGGATGGATGGGATGGATGGGATGGATGGGATGGATGGGATGGATGGGTTGGATGGGTTGGATGGGTTGGAAGAAAGTTGGAGAGTTCAATGTGAGCCTGAAATCCTTATCCTCCGAAGCTGAAAGGGACGATATGTTCGCCTGACGTGCAGCTTTCAGAAAGGGCAGCAAGACCGGGGACCCATGTAGCCCCATTGCACGTGAAATGGAGATGTCGGAGGAGAAGGTGATATAAGAATCCAGTTGCCAAGGTGACTTAGGTGACAGATTAGATGAGCTTCTTTGTTCTTTCAAAACATGATTTCTCGAACACAACCCTTGTAATCATGTCCCTCTTTTATTTCTTGTCGTTCCGAGGTACACCTAGCGAGTCAGATAAGAAGAGATAGTTACGCGAATCCATCAATAGACTATCATAGCCATGACCGATTGCCTGTCATTGATTCACTAGACCATTTACTGCCTCCATGTACTGAGGCTCAGCACGAGAAGATTTGGTGAACTATTCTTGACCCGTTACGTGTTATCAAAGCCAGCATACCATCAATTTACATGATTTACTTCCATGATGGAAGGCTAAGCATCTTTATTATGTACAGATGGCCCCGAACCTCAAGAGCTGAGTAGGGTTCGACAGAGATATTCGTGCTGCTTCCTGCTCCAGTAATCAATCATTGACTGCCGGCATTTGGAATGGTTCCCTTCCTCGCCTTCCTCATTCAGTCCAACCCTCCTTCCCAAAGAAGATGTATCAACAACAACAATATGACCGAGCTCCATGGTTACAACATGAACTCCTTTTTTGAAATATTCCTTGTCGTGACAATTGACCATCTTTCAGACTTGAGAGCTTCTTCAAGCGCCTGCGAACCATCTACAGATCATCATGACGAAACGTTCAATGCAATTCGAGTCTCCAGAGCGTGCAGCTAAGCGGCCATCGCCCGAAACGTGGTCGGTGCCCGCTCGGATGGTACAGAGCGTGAGTCACCACGAGTTAAAGACCTTCACGCTTCCTTGCCTGTATCTGTTACTCCTGAATCACTAACTAAACAACTTATCCATCACAAAGGCTCCTGCTATTCCAACTTCCAAGTTGATCCTGTTTGCCGGTCAAACCGAGCCCGCGCGCCATCAAAACCCGGTCCGTGCAGCCAAAAAAGCTATGATCATCCAAGCAGCTTCCATGAAGTTGTACGCCGCAGAAGATGTCGTTGCGAACGAGCGCGGCATTGAATTCTTTCGAGAAATGAAGGAGACGAAGAAGGAGTTGAGGGAGATGAGGGAGATGATGGAGTCCCAAAAGAACTTCAACAAGCGCGTGGAGGAGGATATCATACGTCTTCAGAAACGCTTCCTCCAGGAAAGACGAAGGATCATTTCGACCTTCGTCCGGGACTCCAAGTTCCCGCAAAATCAAGTTGAAAGAAGAATGGTTCTCAACGCCCCCGAGAACAAGGAGCTGAAGGCCAGCATGGAGCTGATCAGAGAGCTCAATCAAAAGACTCATGGGGGTAATATACATGAGGATGCTAGGATGGCTCTCGCATTTTTCGAGCCGAGCAATGAGGAGTATAAGGCTATCGAAACACTGTACCAGATGACACCACAGGAGATCACTCTTCTTGGTAAGCATGAAGATCCTTTTAAGGGCTTATGCCAAAACCCTCCGCTAACTCGGAATGGATAGAAGAAACCCGAATGGATCATGCGACGGAGCTCCTCAATGCGATCGCATGGATCAAACTCTCCCGCACTAGATACGACCTCCCCTCGACTTTGATCGAGACACGTGCGCATGTGGTGGAACTTCTGGGAAGGGAGGAGTATGAGCAGGCCGAAACGTACGCGAAAGAGCAACTCTGCTCAAAGTTTCCGACGTGGACACCAGAAAGGGATATGTAGCTTTGGGTGGCGCCCATGGAGAATTAGCTATTGTTAACAAAACACTGGAATGATGCGAACTGGCTTAGTCTTGGCTAGAACATGGAGGATTAGCTATTGTTAATAAATCATTCAGTGAGAAAGTGATCCATGGGACAGGGATGTCTCCTCCGAAAGACAATGAATTCATCTTCTGCCGAGACTGGCCCATTCATGTATTCAGTTACGATCCACGAGGGCACCATGAGGCGTCAGAGTCTTTGAAACTGTTCAAGGAGCACACTCTTTGATATGAAATGAGCAAGAAAGCCCGGCATGAAAGGCAAAACACTGCCTCCTTAGGACCAGGACCCGCGAAAGCAGACAAGGCGAAACATATGGCAGCGGTGAAATTGGATTGCTGAGGCTCATAGCTTCCTGACTGAGAAGGCCCCCGACTCGACTCACATAGGTGTGCTATTTGGGTGTGAAAAAACGAGATGGAACCTTGATGCGAAACTACGGACGAGACTGATGGTTCGCTTCTCGGAGAACCGAACTCGAATTGAATCGAGAAACATTCTTTCCCTCCAGCATCGAGCAAGTCTCGGTCTCCATGAATCAGATCACTGTGTTGACGACTCGAGTCACGCCAACAAAGAGCGCGTTGACAGGCATCTCAGCTTCAACACCCGGCTAGGCCCAAAAGGTCCACCTGATCACCCCGATGGGGATGCGATATCATGCTATACTGCAGGGAGGAAAGTGTCATTTGTGATCACCATTCCGCCTCTCGCCTTCGCAGATTTCGCACTTTCGAAGTCGCCGAGCGCAGGATCTTGACGTGGATCGCTTGTGTCAATATGTAGCAAGGAGCAGAGCCCGCACCGTCACAAAGAGTGACTCCAGCGTTTCGTTCTTTGAGGACTGCCCGCCGTCAATCCGGTGGAAGCAGCAAAGATCATGATCAATTGGCTGTCCAATTGAATGTCAACTCCACACGCAGTTTCACTTTCAGAGGCGGACGGTCTCAGTACGGTCAAGGTTCTGACATCCCGCAATGACCAAGCCTAGACTCAAGAAAAATTCTGCAAGTGACATTCAATCGAAGAACCATGTCCTCGTAAGGCAAGCGTACCTCTGAGGGGTCTCAAGAAGCACACGTAGCTCGGTGTTTCAGAGCCGCCGAGCATAAAGTTAGCGGACCTCAGAGTGGCACCGTCAATGGTCGGTGGCCACTCGTCGCTCGAGAGTGCTGTCAAGTTTCAGGAGCAGAAGACTGTCAACCCACTCAGCCCGAGGTGAAGCCAGTAGGCACCAGGCACAATCAGTCTTCTCGGGACAACATGATCTGTGGGAGACTAATCTGTTTAGCGCACGGAGATCAGCACTCGCGCTGACAAGGTGATCGACTTAGGAGAGCTGCCACGAGTCAATTGACTGCGCATCGCCCGTTCCAACAGATATATGTGAGCGAGGACCCAGCCCCATTAGGTCGTAATTACCTGGCCCCCAAAATTCTGTCCGCCACCACTTATCCCACATTGAGGATTTGTGCAATAGTCATGCAGGCCACAAGATGATCAGCTAGGTACAGAAAGCCTTGAAGAGCTCTCGGGCATAAGGTGCCTACTTGTTTGAATTTGATCAAATACTCACCTATCAGGGTCGTCCAGATGTTTGTTCTTGCGAGCGTGCTCTAAAGACCTTACAACTGCAACGGCGGCCTGCGACTTAGAAAATAGAATCTTCAGCAGACTCTCCACAGCAGACAGAGATTCGACTGCTCGCCGTCTCGCGGAGCCGTCACGGGTCTCCTACGCAATCCTAGCCGCTGTCCTGGCGGAATGGATCGTATTCGCCGGCCTCATTATCGCCATCTTTAGAAGGAAAAGGCAAGGGAAAGATCCGATCCTTGGTAGATCTGTTCTGGTCTCTTGCGTCGTCTACTTCACGTAACTGTATTGCTGAAGCGGTTGGGAATCACGTCTGGACCGACTACAAGCTTCACAAAGACGCTGGCTTTTCGAATACGGAGTGTCTGTTCATATCACTTCCCTAATGCTAGTTCGGACACCCTTGGCCTGGTTGTTAGCTCTCTTCGACTTGCGCAACACCAAGCCGCTGGAGTCAATTTGACCATCATTCTCATTCAGCAATTTGCGTACCTGTTCGCGGCATGCACGAAATTCCATATTCTTTATAGACTGGCTCACATCTTTCAACTACGTCACACAGGCCGATCGCCACTTTCATTGACTCTGTGTCATGCGATCTGCCTCGTCGTGATAGCACTGACATGTGTGCTGGGATGGTCATTATATGTTGCGTATGCATGTGGAGAGGTTTTTTAACAAGAACCCTCGGACTATGCTAGAGGCCTTTCACTGGAGTCAATGTGCCCGTTACTTGGTGCACTGGCTTGCTTCGTCAGCCTTAGGCTGTAATCGTCACAATTCGATCCTACACAAGGGACCTACAAATCAGGGTAAGTACCGCAAAGCTTTCCGATCCATTGACTGGTATCTCATTTCAGCGGGCCTAACATGTATCTTTCCTACTGCAGCGCCCTGCACTCTTGTTCTTGGTGTCGAGTGTTCTATTCTTCGCAGTCAACTTTTTCTGGGCGGTGATCGCAATTGATCGGGGAATTATCTGCTGGCTCAATCATCGCGTACCGTCTAATCGGGCCCAAGTCCTTTGGTTCGACACCATTTTCGAGCTTTTCTGCATTGCCATTGGGTACATCTGCTTTTTGGTATACTCTACACCTCTCGCGCGGGATAAAATGATAGAGTTTCAATACATCGAACTCTCAAGGATAATTATAATAATGGGAAGCAAACCAACAGAAAGTCAGATGAAAACCAACAGAGAGAACCAAGAAGCCTTTATAATCCTATATATTACTCGCCTTTCCCTCCAGGGTCGAAATAGGGATCATCATATCTGCCTCGGGTGGGTAGATTTGGCAGACGGCAAACCGTCATTAATCTCCTCGAACTTCATTATCAAAGAAGACGTACTCGGCACTGTAGTAATACGTTAACCGGTAACTCCAGGTAGTAGCGTTCGGGTAACCGTGATTGATTAACGAGTAAACGGCCGGTCTTGTCGTCGATCATTACGCATACCTAATACGTAGGGAGCCGCCTCCACCTCAGCTACAGTCTTCTCGGTGCGCTTGTCGGCCTGTCTTAGGTGAGTTGAAACCATAATCTCAGGATCTCCATAGCGCGAAGACGAGGAGAGGTGCTAAGGCGATGTTGTCGTGGGAAAAGAGCGTGTCCTCTGGAAGAAGATATAGAAGGAAAGCGCCTTGACTTCCAAGGCATAGTAGGTAAGATTGTCGGCACACGTCAGCAGGGAAGATCATTATTTTAGATCGACTCAATCGAACCTACACCTCATTCGTTCTCATTCTCAGGTCACTTTTTTCTCCATAGAGCCGTGTCAAAAGAAAGGCGAGAAGAGTGATAGCCTAGGGAAGCTCAATCGAGTTGGCGACGATGATTCTGCACCCCGCGAAAACCTGGTCTAGCGCCAAGTCGATCCCGTGTTGAGGGCTTCGTGCCACGACTCGATAGCTTTTAGCCAAACCACACAGCTTGCAGTTTAAACCATGATAGATTCCCAGACCGCGTATCGAAGCAGAGACTTCAGACCAGTAGTACCATCACGAGCTAAGACTGAACTAGTCTTGACTCCTTTAAACGGTCAAGAGTTTTGTCAATGACCTCGCCCATCCCACTCGCGTCGCAGAATTTCGCAGGTCGATAGTGTCAGTCCAACGAGACCGGCTGTAGAAGACGGGACTCTGACTCAGGTCGGAATGCATCTACGCAAGTGACCTGTCGGGGGAGGAATGGGTTCATTTCGGTGGGAAAGCGCTTGTATGTAATGAAGTTGTACGTATGCGGAGCGTTGACCTCGATCGATCATCAGTCCTGGATGAACTCTTCCAGTTTCCAGGGCTAGGACAGACACGCACGATCGGCTCGAAGGCACATCATACACGGCTTGGGCATTCTCACGTCTTTCTTGAAGCGCTAAGTCAACAGGGGCAGGTGTGTTTCCGCCAGGCTCTTTGACTATACGAGGTCTGTCACATATCTACGCTGCATTTGCGGGGACGTACTCGGTTGGAGAAGACAAGTACGAATGTTCTCATAGGTAGCCATAAGTATCTCGTCAGATTCCGCATCGAGAATGACGTTCGCGATAAAGTCTCTTCCTCTTGACGGAAGCCAGTCAAGCAGCTTTTCGGATTCCTTTGTGACTTTGTGCCGACTGAGTCGGTCATGCGTGCAAACTTTAAGATCATTCCAGCCATCTTCGGTCTTCTCGACCTCAGTCTGAGTGAAGCTAAGCTCAGAACAACACGTCCCTTGGGACGGAGAGATTCGACGCGATTGGCGGGGGCGGGTTAAGGAGCGGGGCGGTGGGGGCGAGGGTGGAGATGATTCGTGCTTGCGCTTAGGCATTTTTAAGGTTTGCAGAGGATAAGGATGTATTGTCAACTTCAAGTCAAGAGGTGTTTGAGGATTAGAGCGACACAGCAATTAAGCCTTGGAGACCATAAAATGCGTTCGTGAAAAGACGTGTTGTGAATTGGGCCGTTAGGCGCAAGAACTGTCCCATTAGTCTCAAGAGGGCAAAGCGGTAGAAGAGCTTGGTAGTATGGTGTAAATAGCAAGCGGTGTACCCATATACTTGAAGACGAGAGCAGTGAGTTAGGTAGCTTGAAGAGGTCAGGGCTAAGGATATAGAAGATAGGAGAGATGGCGTAAATGGCGTCTACAGTGTCAATATTGCTATCACTAGAGATCCCTTGATGAAAGCATGGGTGTTGCCTTTCTTCAGAGACTCGTTGGGGATTGTCACCTCCACACTGCAGGATTCCTGCCAAGCCAAGAGGGCCAGGATTTTCGAGTAGTTCGATCCGTAGCTAGAGGGGCCTGCCGACCGAAAAAGGTCATGCAGACTCGTAGGGTCGGCTTTGGCATCGGCGTAGTCATTCAGAAAGTATGAAACGGCGGCTAGGATGTCGGCATAAGTTGTACGATGGTAGCCCGTTTAGGCCGGCCCCACAAAGTCCACTGACTTCTCGTCCATGTGACCCATAGCAAATGTCACCGCTGCCCTGTCGGCCGTGGTTCCCAAAGTCAGGAGCAAAAAGCCCACTGCACCCGTCGGACGAGCAGTCTCCGTGTTCACTAGTGAGAGCGCCATTGATGATAAGCTGCTAGCGAGAATAACAGACACAGTAGGAATCTTAGAATAGAAAAATCCACTCCACGAATCCAGAAAGTCAATGATAGTAGAATGGGTGGTACGTGGTCTGTAAGGACAATTCCCATTGCTGAGGATTGTGGATCTGGAGGCAAACCACTAGAGCAAGTTTGACCTAGCGTTCTCGTGATCTCTTTGTCTTATCAAAGAATTGACGACTCCTGAAAAGCCTTTCCCGAATAATTCGATGAAAGTAATCGTCTAGAGTATTCATCTCGGAGGATCGCTCGGTCGCTTTGAAAGTGTTAAAGCTCGGCGACCTGGATCAATAGCAACAATTCCTCATCAACACTATGCATACAGAGGCGAAACGCACTGAGCATGAAGAAAAGAACTTCCAGAGAAGCAACGGGTCCATTGATAGAACCATGCACGGCGTCGCCACGAACAAGGTCTTGAGAGCACTACCAAAAAGAAGACATCGAACTCCACTCACGAGGGCAAAGGAGGCAAAAAGTGACCAGACTGGGGCTCGATCCCAGGACCTTATCGGTGTTAACGATACGTGATAACCAACTACACCATCCGGCCAGGTGGTTGGTAAAGTGGCCAACTATTAAACTATGAACCGCTTTAATCAACATAACGTTGTATTCTTGTAAGTTGATCGCTTTCGCCTCTAGTACTGATTGCATATCTGTTTCCCCGAGAAATTCAAGGTAAAAGAATCAGTGAATTTTTCTGACTGCGAATGACGTCATTTTATGGAGCTGAGTAGCCTGTTGCGCATCCATGTCTAGGTAGAGCTCCAGGACAAACATGTTGTTTTCTGAAATATATTCCCGGGTTGGTCATTCCACAGCGGTAGGTTCTCAAGACGCCAGGCCCCAGGTCAATTTCAGCTCCGACTTGTACCTAGGGGATGCGCCTGCAACGATCGGCGAGGTACGGTTACAGCGTATATCGTGCTAGTTGCTTAGCATTTTATCCGCAGCTCCATTCTCCAGGGAAACCTACGTCAAAAAGGCCTTGCAAGAACCCGGAGGCGAGAAAGACAGGCAAGACGACGCCGCGTAAAGATGAGATCCGTAGATGCGGCGCGGCCTTACGAGCCCCACAAGACGGGACAGGATATCTACGAGGGCGAATCTCTACTGAGGTGAGAGATCATCATCATCTTGTTGATCAACTCTCGGGATGCAAGTTCGAGGGCGGATTTGAGACGGTCTTTCCAACAGTCAGATTTTTTCCACTTGCAATGACACACTCTTGATGATCTTTGTTTACGGCCATCGTACTGCCCGAGTGGTGTTGATCGGTCCCGTCGGACTTGAAGATCTCGAGACGTGCGTGCTGGTGGTTTTGGTGTGGCTCGGCTCCTCTATGACACGACCTGTCTGAGCCCTGGCATGACTCGCAATCGTCGCTGCCCGAGCGGAATAAACCTGGCCGCGGTCAGACTTGGCTTTTGGGTCTATCGGGCTTATTGTTGGTGGGATATGGCACCTGATTCATGGTTACATTGCCTTATGAATAAGGTGCTTGGCCTGATTGGGAGCCTTCCCTTTTTGGCAAAGCAAAGTGATGGTTGACGAAATCTACAATTTGAGACAGCCATTAAGGTCTTTCATCAACAGTGATGAGATACGGCTACGGTAGGGGCAGCAGTATCGATGTGTGAGAGGGATGAGGAGTGAGATTGCCGTGGGGGAGTGATTCTACCTAAGCTATGGACTGTGGTGAGTGGCAGAATCACAAGCCGTGCAAACAAACAGATCACAACGATTGCCAACCTCAATTGGCCATTCTGCTCATGTTGAGCGGATAATCTTGTGTTTTGCTCGAGCCCCATCGATACCCACGATAAAAGACATTACGTCTCACTCTCTTTAACTTGCCTGAATTCTCCGCAGACCAGTTACTCTAGTCGTGGAATTCAATTTCTCGTACTTGTTCTTACTGTCTCCTTTTGGTGATATTTATCTTCACGTCAGACCAATGCAGAACATTGTTGTGGCTGAACCTTGCGGGAGTTTTGTCGATGGCGTGACCCATCACATCTCTTTCGCATGATTCTATGATAACAATTACTTGGTCCACTTAATGATAGCGTCGCCTAATTCCTTTCATTACGTATTCTAGATAGGAGCTGCGAGCTAACAGAGTTTGCTAATATGAAGCTTAAAAATAGGTAGTCAGAACGTCAATTTTTATTCCCGAAGTGGGCACAGGCCCCAGAATCTGGAGTAAGTTTGTTTTGCCTAGAACTTATGCTTGTTATTTTCTCCATGACCTGCGCGGCAGCAAATCATGACCTTACCCACTCACGCCACGGTCATAACCTTGCACTAGGCCGGTCGGTCCTCGGCCTGTATCACTCTGTGGCCTGTGCAATGTCCGACGCGGATACTTGTTGTTTTTGCCCCAATGAAGCGATTCACTGGACCTTAGCACACGGCCCAAGGTGACACGAACGTTCGTTAACGCTTGAGGGAATGAGACCAGTAAGTGACGTTATTCAATTGCTTGGGTCCAGATGCATAGAGTATAATTCGCGTCTTACGAGTGCTCGATGGTATCGTAGAAGCTAGTCATTGCTATATGCGGCTCATGAGACTAACTGGGCTATTCCTCCTCGTCCCCCTCCAGTTCGGCCACTCTTTTGCCGAGGGGACAGGGACAGCTTAGCTCCGGCACCCATTATCTCCGAAAATGCTACATGCCCGATTTTCTTCACTTCGTGTGGGAAAAATACATAAACGAGACCACATACGCCTGTGTGATCTGAGTAGCGCAACCCTCATCCCATTAGAATGGTCTTGATGCACACTCGGTTGACCTCCAGCTGTCGGTCTATCTCGTCAGCTCTCGTACCTTGTGATGTTGTTACTGTTGACCAACTGAGCTGGTCTAAGGCTTCATCTTGAAAATCCAAGAGCCACTGCTGAATGTAAGCATCTTGATGAGCTATGTAAAGATGAACACAAGCCATTCCAGCGCCCTTTCGTTTGGAAGCCCCAACTGTATAAGACCGAATCTAGTGTACGTGCTTTTCAAGCAATTCCCTAGCTAAATCATTAGATACTGTTCCCAGAACACGGGCCCATGGATCAGAGTGACTGAGACATCCGATCACACCTACTCACCGCAGCGACCGCTACACGGTCCTTTGAAAAGTAGCCTTACTGCGCCTCCATATTCAGGTGTTAGATGGGAGATGTCGAAGCCAAAGATAAGCTAATCGTCCCGGAGATGAGTTTAAACGCCAACAATTCTGATCTCAGCGCCGGCGAAGAAAGCTGTCCGCCATCGACACCAAGAACGCGGACCTTTTTGCTCTGAGCCTTCTGACCAGATCGGCTGCGATTTCATCCTTTTGACAGGGTGTGAGTTTAATGCCTCGTGAGATTTCGCAGCACCAGCATTCTGGGGTACAGTGACCAAGGCCCTGTCCCTCGAGAGATGTTCGTTTCAAGCAGCATCCACAGGCCCGACTGCAACATCCACCACGCTCTGAACAGTCATGGACCAATTCTTGGCGCATAAACCATTTCCTATCGCGTCTCAATCGATCCCATTTTTTTTTGAGAAAGGGAGCCAACATTGAGACCTGAGAATAGAACTTGTACGATTCAGTTGCGAACTCGGTCTGCGTTTCCGTAAGCTGTTGATCCAAACACTCAATCTCGGTACTTGTCTTATGTCCGATGCCCTTGGTCTTTTCCGCGACTTTGATACGCTGAGCGATCGCCTCCTCCCTTTGCCTGAGCCCACGGAGTTTAAACTCAGTCAAGAGTAATTCAATAAGTGTTTTTGGATCGACATAGTCTCCCTTGTGTCGTAATTCGTATCCCACCGGTGGAGAATACGAGTTTCGGTGCCATTTGAGTCCTGCCATTTTCAAGATACGTTGGAACAGGAGATAGTAAGCGTTGGAACAGGATGTGGTAAGTAAATGGGAAAAATTTCTGGAATCCAGAAAGTGAGGTTGAAACTGTAGTTTTTTCGAAGATGGAGAGGCGGGAAGCGCATGGTTAAGTGAGCGACCAGGAAGTTGCCCTTCCTGATGACGGATACATTACCGCCTCAACCCAGAATCTCAAGCCCGTATCTAAAAGCGTTTATCGCCTTTCAGTACAATAACATGATTCGTAACAGATGCGGCCAGTGGTTAATTAGAAGTAGGAATGCCCCGAAACGTTCGTTAGGCCACTGACAAGGGAGTAGCCTGAGCTTCCTGCTCCACTTGTATATTGCTCACTTTCTACTAGTAGCTGATCGGCGTGCTCTATATTAACAAATCAGAGGTAACCGCTACAAGGAGGTAACCTATGACGACGGCGAGAAGAAAAGAGACCTGGTTATTCAGTATTGAAATGTTTAACCGTTTGGGAGGCTTACAGGCAAAATGCAAAGAGTTAAAATACTGTGGCGAATTTATATCTAATATGGAGACGTACTGATGCTGCGACTCACTCCGTTAGAACTTTGAAGTATTGAGAGGATGATAACGGTGTCTATGCGAATGATTATCTTCTATTTGTGGTTGTTCTAGTTTAATTGCTTGGGAAAAAAGGTTTGTCGTTGCTAGGATGTCGCCAGAAGAGAAAGGGCTCACAGGATCGCTGGCGGCTTATCGTACTCGTGGACCGGAGGGTTCATGGACGGGAGCATCTACTTGATCAAGAAGAGTTCATGAGACGATACGGTCGTTCCTAGAATGACAGAGAGAGAGAAGCCTTGGTTGATGCATCACAAAGACACTGAAAAAGGCTCTTGCAATGACGGCAGTCACGATGTAAATAACATAACAGAAACAACTTGAGAAGAGGCAGGCATCCGCGCCTTCCTTTTTTGCTATCAAAATGATGCTGGTTTGTTTACCCTCGTTTTCCTTCCACTTTCCCGGCCTCTTCTCTTTCTCCTCTCCATCCATCTAACATATTGTTTCTTACAATTAAATTGTTCAACAACAATTTGAAAATTGTATTATCAACAACAGAAATGAATTTATCAACCAGCGAGACCCCTCCGCCGGCCTAACCGGCTACTGTCCAACCCCCTGCCGGCATGAACGGGAATTAGTTGGTCATACTGATTGTCGTCTGCCTTGTTGCGGTGCTTATATTTGTCGGTCTCATAATTTGTCTGTTATTCAGGCGTTGGGCGAGGTACGTGTACATTTCTATACTTATACCGAAAAGAAGACAATGGAAACCTTGAGATGTATTGTCAAACTGATGTCGTTTTCAACAGGGTCAAGACTCGCGCCGATGCGGAGAGCGGCACCTAGCTAAGAGACGTCGAATTTGCTGTACATCGATCGAGGTGGGAACGACTGTTCGGATTCGGTCCGCTTTTGCTCTTGCCATCGAAGATCTTGTGCGGCTGGCCTAAGCCGCCCGGACCGCCTAGGCAAGAAATTATCTTGTAGCGGCTATCGACTGAAGAAGGAGGAGGAGCTGAGGGAGCTGATCCAAGCTCTGATATTGCTGACTTTACCGTGATTCCTTCGGGGTATCGGGTCGTTGACGTTTGGACACGCCCTCCGAGCCCTAGTGCCGGTGCGCGGAATGCCCAAGAGGATGCTACTAGTTAGCTCCCCTCTTGTGGTCTCGTCTTTTCTTTTCCGCGGCGTCGTCTTACCTCGCTTTCTCGCCTTTGGGTCCTTACAAGGTTTTTCTCAAGGTTTCCATAGGCTTTTCCGACGCCCCAGTTGTTCGCTTTCGTCGACCATATCGTGGCACCTCCCTTTGGCGATGTATATTCTGTTCTTCTACGCGACTACGTCGCTTGTGCTTCCAAGTCTTTTTCTGTTCCTTCAAATGGCCTCAACGACCTCGGCATTCCTTTCCGTCGACCGTGTCGCTGGTTTCTCCAAGACTGCCTTAGTCTTCTCAATAGCCTCGGCAATCTTTCTTGATAGCCCCGTTGTTCGATTATCGAATCTCTTTCCGGTCATTCAACGGCCTCAACGACCTCGGAAGCCTCGACATCCCTTTCTGACGGTCTCACTCACTCCTTACGGCCTCATCGAGGCTTGTGGTATTCAATATGTTCTATAGTCTTATTATTAATATCACTGGTCGTCAAGGCGAATTCACATTGCAATAATTGTCCCTAGTGTGATACTACTACCAGGGAGTTTCGGAAAACGTAGCACTGACCAAAAGAGGGGAGAAAGGGATAGTGAGATTGTAACTAGTGAGAGGTGCTATCTAAACTACTAGTGGTGGTGTGCGTAGGCGTGCACCACGCTGGTGTGACGCGCCGGACCACCAAGCTATCTCAACAACTACTAGTACTAAGGATTTGGGGGCCGTGCTGATACCGGGGGGGTGGTATGCTGATATTGGGCCGTGGTACACAATCTATGCTGCCTCCAGATACGCCTCTGAGGTCGCAAGGCTTCATACTTTCTAAAGTGGGGACGCCTTCAGAAGGCAACGTGCGGCTTTAGGCACTGCCTATCATTTTCCTGAATGGGCCGTTAAGCTTCAAGTGACAGTCGATGGTAGGGAGGGAACAAACGCCTATGACGTTAGCTTCTAGCCTGAACGAGTTCCTATACAGTTCTCTCTTTTTTCGATCCACAAGGGGTCTTTCTGGCCACAACATAATATCCACGACAGATCTATACTTCCACACCGTATGCCAGGATTGTGGAGATGGTCTCTTGAGCAATTTGGTGAGATTTCAATGGATGCTCCGGTTCATAATCATCACTCCGAGCGCTACAAATACGTCATGCGATCATTCGAAGGATTGAGCTCCTTCTTTGAGTCGCGCCAGCAATATACGTCACCCTCAATGGTTCTCGAATGAGCAAGCGTCATCCTAGAACCTAAGTAAGCGTAGAAGCCAGCACATTCTAGATGAACGTTTCGAAATATAAAAGCTGTCAGAGTCTCTGGTCCCCGGGTGCTGTCTGAAGTGTACAGACCCGAGACGAATACGATTATCACTACAATCATCGGCGTAACTTCGCGCAAGACCCTACGTGCATAATCCACGATTCTCAAGGCAAACGCTTCAAATTGAATTCAAGATGCATTTCACTCCAGCTTTCATTTTCACTATCACCCTGGCCTCTGTCTGCATGGGCGCTGCAGTCGACAAGCGCAAGTCCTGGCTCTTTTCCTGCGGCTGCGACGGTTAATCTGATGCAAATGCCAACGACTGCCGAGCCGCTATTAACCAGATTGATGTGAACGCTAATGTGATGGGTATGTGGCAATCAGATCTAGCCATTCTTAAATATACTAAAAAGGGGTTTATTGATAAATTTCATCTTGTGCCAGACCCTATGAACGCTATCTGTGTCGTGTATATAGGGCCCCTTAGTTCTGCAAGCATCATGTATCAATCGGGCGACTGTGCTCTGGCTATCGGAAACACCCAGAATATTAACGGCCCTGGCGGTATTGGTGGTGGAGTTACTGGAACCACGATTAGTGGGGCCGACTTTAAGGACCTTATGACACAGATGATGGGCTGTGAAGACACGGCGAATGGTCTTATCAACGCTTGTGCCTCGGTTGGAGCTGGCAACGCCATGATTTTCAAGCACTAGAGTGGTACATTCCAGGTGTGAGCCGCCGGGTGAGTCAGAAAGGACGAAGTATGACCTATTCTATCTTAATTCGGCCAACCAATCCTGTCTCCTCTGCGCCCTCTATTCAACAGACCTAAAGATGAAACTCAAGGTTAACCCTTGAGAGGATTACGAAGGCGACGCCAGCACTTTCCTACCTGTTTGTGCTTATCTTGACTCTGTATACTGCATTGATACTTGCTGTACGATCACTACACCGTGCTTTGAAATCACTATGGATCTCTTCTTGCTGACTAGACCGAAGATTCAACTCGTAACGTAGTCGCAGCTCTCGTAAGTGCGCCGAGGCAGACTTTACCCCGTTTATTTGAAATTATTTTTCTTGGTAGTACTCTTGAAACTCATATGGTGAGCAGCGGCTACAGAAGATGTGTGTGTGAATAAATCAGGGGAGGGGGGAAGAAGCGAGTTTCTCTTTAAACGAGAGGTGTTACTGTAACTTAGTTACCCTCGTGCTTTGCCCAATTACGTATAGCTCCTCCATAGAAGGCGACGGACAAGCTTCCACAAAAAGTCAAAAAGAGTGACCAGACTGGGGCTCGATCCCAGGACCTTATCGGTGTTAACGATACGTGATAACCAACTACACCATCCGGCCCATTATGTACTTCAAATGTTAGAGGTAGTAATTATACCGCCTATTATTTTTCGCTACATCACAATTGCCTCGAAAAGATCAGACATCAGGACGAGTAGCGACATAAGATCTTCAGATCGACGCCAATGCGCTGGGACCCGAAAGCAGTCGCTGACGATTAACTGCTAGAATCGTGTCCTGAATGAAGTCTGTCTGAGTCCGAGAGTCATTGTAGATTAGTCTCATGATATCCTCCTGTCCGTGACTTGCAGCGGTCCAGAATGCACTTTGACCTGCATTATTTCTTGCGTTCAGCTCGAGCCGAGGATCCATCAGCATCAGTCTGACTAGCTCTATCGAGCCATTTGCAGCTGCTATACGGAATACCGAGTTGCCGTTCGTATCTTTTGAGTTGAAATTTAATCGGTTGCCTTGCTGTAGGAGACGAGCTGCACTAGAAATGTGACCATTCCTAACAGCCGTGAGAAGCGGGGTGAGGCCGCACTAATATTAATCCAGATCAATCTCCGCTTTGGATATAAATTGTTGAAGTATTTGTACGTAGCCTCGTTCTGCGGTAATGAAAACTAGCGACTTTCCGTGCGCATTGACTTAGATATCTCTCCTTCTAAGCAGCAGGCTTACCATATCTACGTCACCTAAGCACGTCGCCCAACATAGAGCGGTTAGGCCACCGGCATCTTGCACATCCACATCAAGATCTTTGCGATCAAGAAGTAAGCATACAATAGAGTAGCTTCTCTGTTGAACTGTATTGATAAGTACCGTGCGTTCTTCCGGGCCAGCAGAGTTGATATCTACCTCCTCTTCTGCCAGTAACAGAACAATAGGGGGAATTGATCCTTTCACTATCACTCTGAAAAGTGCTGTCGCACCTGTGTTATCACGGAGGTTGACGTCTATTCCTGGCCTTGCGAGAAGAGTTCTCATGATTGTTGACAATCCAGCTTCAGCGGCGACGTGTAGAGCGCTTCTTCCCTCTCGGTCTTGGGTATTGAAGTACAGGCATTCATAGACCAGTAGCCTCGAGATAGACGCAGCGTTGCCAAATTTAACGGAGATATGCAAGGGTGTCTGCCCGTTCCTGTCAGACTCGTTGATATCGGCGCCAGAGGACGAAAGGATATTAATAAATTCAGGGAGATCAAAGGCAGCAGCTAACCAGATTGGTAGCTCGTAGTTTTGACAGTGGGCGACGTCTTGTTTTCCAACGAAAAAGGTTTCGTGAAAAATCAAAAGTGTAAGCATTTCAAGACCGTTCTTGGAAATTGCAACGCCAAGGGGAGTTCTTCCACCAAAGTCTGGTACGTTGATATCGCCGCCTTGTTCCAGGAGCCTCTGGGTAATCATGGTATTGGAGGCTACTGGGAGAACGTAGCAGACCCAAAAGAGGGGAGAAAGGAATGGTGAGATTGCATCTGGTGAGAGGTGCCTATCTAAGCTACGAAGGTGGTGTGCGTGGGCGCGCACCACGCTGGTAAGACGCGCCAAACCACTAAGCTATCTCAACACCCCCCTGGACCTCGATCCACTAATCTCACTCAAAACACGAAAAACATGAAAAGTGATTATATAAATATATTAACGCCTTAATATAGCTTTTTAAGCTTAAAAAGGTATTTAAACCCTTAGAATTAAGCTCGCTATAAAGGCTATTAAAAAACCGTTGAATAGCCGTTAAATCAGAGCTTTTTTATACCTAAAAGGTATAGAAACCTCTCGAATTAGACTCGCTATAGCGGCTTAGTAAAGCTATCTACGGCCTACTCTATAGTAGAGATTTTAATAAATTTGTATACCCCCCTAGAGACTTAGTCTCTAATATAATAGTATTTAACGTTAATATACTTCGTTCGTTAGTATAAATTATAGCTTTTAGTAAGGTAAATAGCGCCTTAGTTATCCTCGTAGATTATAGTAGGAAGTTATAAAAGAGACTCTATATTAAGTTCCTTAAGGAAAAGCTATAGCTATAATACCTCTTATATAGCTAAAGATATAGCTATATACTTACTTTCTGTAGAGGAAAGAGTAATATATATTTACTTTTTATAAGCCTAAGTAATTATACTATTCGTAAGCTTAAAAAGGAAGCCGGAGGTTAATATACTACTATCCGTATATTTACCGGCCTAATCTATATTAATAAATCTAAAGAGGGGGTCTAGTAAGTAGGAATACGCGATAGTAAGTATTTCAGAACCCTTAAGATATCGAAAGATATACTTTAATACTATTATATACTTCGCGGAGGGGTTATATATATATCTTATAAGCTTTATAACTACGAATATAATATCTAGTCGCGTATTAACTATTAGCTAAATAAATAAGCCTACTATCTTACGGTAAGCTTTAACTTCCGCCGAAGTAGTAGTATCCTTATATAGTTATAGGATCTCCTTATTATAAAATAGTATAGGGACTATATATATATCTTATAGGTTGAATTTCGCGAGGACTTTGTGAATATAGGTGAGCTAAGAAAGTATAACTTTACTATCTATAGATTAAATAATATTAATCGTAAGAAATCGTGTGACGGTACTATTATTAGTAATATCGAAGGATTTATAAATATAGTCCTTAAGCTATATAAGAGATATATCCGAAGGCGTAATAATTAGTATATTATTAATATATATAAGAAGGTAAAGCTTACGCTTTATATATATAAAGACCGAATAATTAGCTTATAAATAACTAAACCTAAGAGCTATAAGAGCCCTATAAATAGTATTATACTATTCGCGAGGACTCTATTTTAGGCTATATAAGGTTTTTAAAAGGAGGCTATATTTTCTAGGCTCTTTAAAACTATTAGGAAATTAAATATAGATTTCTTTAAGAAGCTCTATATTAAGGAACGCTATAACGAAGTTAATATAATATATCTACTAGCCGAAATACGTAGCGATTACGCAGAATATTTTAAAGCTTAAAGCTTTAGCTATACTTATATAAATATTAAGATAATCGATTCCTTCGCGTTACTTAAATCCTTTTATAACGAGACGTACTTTATAGGTCCTATCGTCCTTAATATAAAAGACCTATCGAAGCGGAAGAAGCGTCTTTTTAGTATCTTTAGTAGGAAGATTATATACACGCTAAGTACCGTTTTTTAGCTACTTCTGTATTTCCTTATCTATAGCTTTAATCTATTTAGTCTATTTATCCTTACTATAATTTTATATTATATCCTACTAGCTATCCGGTTTATATAGCGTTAGCTAAGCTAAAGCTTAATATAAAAGCTTTAGAAGTAGTTATAAGTCTATAGTTATACTACGAATTAAAAAAGTAGCGTATTTAATATAATTAGCTAGAGCTATATTTAAAAGCTTAAGAGAATATAAATATTCCTCTAACTCTATAGCTACTTAAGTCTTCTTACGGACTCGTAAGGAACGCTAAAGACCTATCTTAGGTATAGTTTAAGAACTACCCTCGATAGTTTCAGAACTACCCTCTATAGTTTAAGGATTATCGTCGATATTTCTAGGACTACCCTTAATAGTTTCGGAACTATCCTCTATAGTTTAAGGGCTATCGTCGATATATTTATTCTGTTTATAGGCGAATCTCCGCTTAATCTATTTACGAAGCTTTTTAAGTTAGGCTTCGCGTTTAAATAATAAAAGTAGTATATTAGACTATTTAGATAATAGTAGATCTCCTATTAGAATATAAGGAGATAGGGTTACTAGCTATACTAGCTTATTAGGGCTATTAGCTAAATCTAGCTAAAATAGTTAATCGCTATTAGCTAGTAGGAAATCCGATAGTATATAATAGTGTTAATAAGCCGTAGATTATATAGGAACTAACTTTAGCTCTATATCGAGATTATACGTAGACTTAGGTAGATCCTTTATAGTATTCTTATTAAAGACTATATTATAAGAGACTACGATCTTCTTTAAATAAATATCATAGAGTTAATATCTATTAGTACTATAGTCTACTAGCCTTACTTCGGCTATATATAGAGAAAGCTTATCTACCCTATATTCCTTTAGAATTAGATACTAAGCTTAGTAGCTAAGTATACGTAGATTTAAAATATCTAGCTTTTTACTATAGAAAGCTTTATATAGAGTTATATTAATAGTAGACTACTAGAGACGGTTTATAGTATAATTAATACCTAAAAGTAGCTTATTCTATAGATATTTAGGAAGCTAATTTTTAGCTAATATAGCGATTAGCGGCTTAATAAGCTAATAATTCCTAATCTCTGTAATACTATTAAGCTAAGATATATAGGAGGGAATAGGGTCCTAAATAATACCGTTTTCTTCGTAAAAAGTAGCGATTTTAATATATTCTTATATATTATCGCCTAAAATTACCTTAACTCTATAGTTAAATTATATTAAAAAATAGGTTACTAATATACGAATTTTATTAGTAATTTCGCTCTTCGCCTTTAATAGGAAGACCTAATAGAAGTAAGTAGTATTATCGGTAACTATTATAAAATAACGATTATCTCTAATACCTATAATAGAGATAGGATCCTAAATATTAATATAAAGCTTCTACGCTAGTATAGTCTTAATACGCTTACTTTATCTAAAAGATAAGATATAGCCCTTACTAAGAATATAAGAAGGATAAGGATACTTAATACTGAATCCCTTTTTAATATTAATTCCTTCGGTATATTTAGGTATACGCTTTACCTTCTACTCGCCTACGTAATAGGCTCTACGATAAGCTAGGTCTATTAAAATAGGTTAAATCTTACCGATTTAAGAAGCTATAGCCGAATCTACGGTAGGTATATAGCTATTACTAAATATATAGGATAGTTAAATAGATAGAGCTCTAAGTATATTAATAAGACTATTACTATTATAGGTACGAACCTAATATTAACTATTCTCCTACTTTACCGTAACGATAAGCTCTTCCCCCCTATATAGGAAGCCGTATATCTTATTAAATTAAGTCTTAATACCAGAATCCTTTGTAAGTTATTATAAGGAAATAAGGTTTATATTAAAAGAAGGAATATACTAGACTCTAAGTAGCTTAAGCTTAGAAATATTATTTCTATTTAAAAAGTTTAGGATAATATTACTATATCCTTTAGTCTATACTTAATAACTATTTAGAAGCTTTATATCGGTAATAAGTAGCGTGAAATTAATGAAATTTACACGATAAGGTATTATATATACTAATACGCTAGAATCTACTATCTAAGTATACTATTTATCGTTATCTATTAATATAGCTATAATATTAACGGCTAATAAGCTTATTTCGGCGAAGCTTATTAAAATCTTATTTTCGGATTTCTCATTCGAATTTAAGTCCTTTTTTAAATCAGAAGTACTAGCTATAGCTATATTAACTCCGCCTTAAGAGGTACCCTTAGATTTAGGGTTAAAGAAGTACTACTTACTAGTATAAGCTATTAAACGCTTATAGTAGATATAATAATACGATAGCTAATTATTATTATCCTAGTTATTTTAACTTTAGCTACGATCTTATCCGGAGCCTCTACCGCGGCTTCTATCTCCTCGGCCTCTGCCTCTACCTCTACCTTAATCGTTATTTTATATAGATTTCGTATCTTTTAAGGTAGAAATAGCTACGATTACTATATTTACAGACTTTTTATTCGACTTATATTTAATAAATTTACCGAAAATATAGTTAAGTATACTATCCGGATTAGTTAGAGGTTTATATATATTTAAGAAACCTTTTATGCTTTAGTAGCTATTAATTATAAGCTTAAAATAAGCTAGAGCCTATTTAGATAGTAACGGGGTATTTAGAACGGCTAAATTTATAAGGTCTAAAGTAGCTTACTATTTAGTAACGAAATTATACGGATTACTACTAGTATATATAAGCTTAATTAAAGATAATAGCCTATAGCTTAAAGTAGTATAGTTACTAGTCCTATATATATTATTAATATTAAGGAAGATTTTATAAGAATCTTTATAATTATATATAAAGCTACAAGCTAAATCGCTAAGTATTATAAGTATAGTAGGACTAACTTAGGATAAGGATAGGATATAGGAGGATAGAGAACGTATACTATATCTACTATATATACTATATATACTATCTTAAAACTTAGGATAGACTATAGCCTCTTCTCTTTTCTTTTTCTCCTCTTTAGCCTTTAAGATTCTTAATACTATATAGCTAAGTTAAATAAAAGTTTCTAAGTCCTTCTAAAGCTTTTCTATTCTTATATATAATATTATCTTAAA